GCTCGTTCCGGAAGAGAACGCTGAAATATCCTTCCTTCAACTCCTCAATACGGTAGGAGCATCGAACCAGAATCAGGATGGTTGACACGAACAGAAACGCCAAGAACACGCTCATGTGTTTGGTGATTCGCTCGCGCGCACCCGATCTGTAGGCGGCAAAGAGATAATCCGCGAACAGTATGCAGAATACCACTAGAGTCACCACTTGGAAGATAAGACCTGCCAGGGAGACGTTGACGCCCTTTTGTACCTGGCTCTTATCGTTCGCAATGCTCGATAGCGCGCCGCCGGTGGCTTGTAGGATGAGGGAGATAATGTCGCAAGGAATGAAGACGTAATAGAAGAGGTGCGGGTTGAAGCGGGATATCGATCGGTCGAGAGTGATGATCCTACCCACATGTTAGCAGAGGATTTATTGACGTGGTGCAGCAAGGAGGCTTACACTTTGGAAAGCATCACGTAGATGGCGGCACAGAAGAAGACAGGGGCGACGGTAATACAAACTATTTCATGGTTAGACAAATACGGCGGGCTGGGTATTGCATCGCCTACTGATCTGAATGAGGAAGCCGCCGAATGAAAAGGGGTTGTCATGCAGAATGAGTCGTCCAACGTAACCGACAATTTCCACCAAACATCCGCCAATGACGCTCGCCGTGAACCCCCACGTCTTTGCCCGAAACCCGATCACACTATGGATGATCATAGCGAGGGCGAAAAGAGCGATGAAGGTACTGTTGGCAGGTATGGAAGGCTGATACTTCAGAAGACTGGCTTCTAGAGGACAGAGCTCGAGAGTGCAGTTGGCCTTCGGACCGAAAGTCCTGAGTCCATTCGGAAGCTTTGTTGCAGACATGTCGGGCCGGATTCTCGAGATTGAAGCCTGTCGTATGGATCACACTGGGAAGAGACAAATCTGATCGTTGCTAAGAAAGACGTTGAGATCGCGGGTCCCGAGAAGTCTTAAATATTGGAGGATACGATGGACGTCGAAGGGAGAAACGACCGCATGCGTATGTCTTATCGAGACGAAACAGCGGGGTCGGCCGTAAACCCAGGAGTAATCCGTGGGAAACTTGCTTGCCTGCCAACTATTTCCGTGGCGGGAGCGGGATCTAATCTAAGACATCCTAAGCTATCCCCTAACGAACAACAGGCCATGATCTACGAGTGGCTGGATCCCTCTCTTTCGCTTATGTTGACCCTTTTCCACGTTTAGAGACTGCCAAGTGCACTTGGCTCTCATGGCTCTCCCCATCTAAACATGAGGCTGGATTCGAAGAGTGCGGGTTGTGGAATCCCCTTGTCTACGACCGGCCGTAAACTATACCATATTCGGACGTGGAGGATCTCGCGATGGGCAAGGTGAGCGCCACCCCATGTGTTTTTGCGGATATCCTGGCACGTATGATTGAACGGCCAGCCCGATCGACGTCCCGACAGTTTGGGCCCGATTTTAGTTGGCTCGCAAGTAGCGTAGACCGCACTGGTTGGCGCACTCGCACTCGCAACATGACGAATCAGGGAGCGAGACTACTGAAGGCGGATGGATATTTGAGACTAGCCTACGTGGTTCCCGCATGTGAACATGATGCGACGGCGGGACACAAAGACGCTTCTCATGCCCGACCCGTAGGCCCGCGCCAAGACACCCGATAAATCGGATAAACAATCTTCGATGCGTCATGCCAACAGCCGAACAGCTCGCGACTTGATTCTCAAAGAATTCTGACGAGGTTCTAGTCTCTCGCTTCGAGATGCGAACTGATGATGGCTGCGTCCGCTTGCTAGATGCGTCTCTGAAATCATTGCCTGACTACTTGGGAGACGAGGAAAACTGCACATAGACAATCATTTACAGGTGGACGCGCGTGAGGCAAGCATTCTTTGTCTTCCGCCGATTACCGCCGAACGTCGCCGAACCCGAATGTCGCCGAACGTATGGCAATCATGGATCGCTGCACCGAATCGGCTCTCCGAGTCTTGTTTGTGACATCAACATCATGCTAGTACAAAGTGTTTTGGTCAAGACGAGCGCGTTTTAATTGAGTCTTTCGAATATCTCTGCGACAGGCGCAGCCTCATGGCAATTGCAGAAAAATGTTTGCAAGTAGCTTTCAATTCAACTTTTACATATACTAATGCCCGGTACCTTCCTTCGACCCCGAAGATATACACTTTCCAAGCTCCACCAAATTGCCAGACAAAAAGTTCATTTACGAGGGTCGTCGCCCCTAAGACAGCGCTTTCTCAAAGCATCCAGATGCAGATCCCTAAACCAGGCTAGTTGGCACCCTCACGGCGCTTGATCTCAAGAGGAACAGTGACATCAGTCGTGAGAGTAAAGTCGTTGAGCCTGTGACCAACAGGTGGGCCTCCCTTACGATCAACATCGCCTACAAGCCGGAAGTCCCAGAAGCGCAGCATCTCGACAAATAAGACCTTGATAGCGGTGCTGCTGAAGAAGCGGCCGGGACAGCTGTGGGTGCCGAGGCCCCAGGCCAGGTAATCGGATGTTGTCGTGATGTAGTGGAACTTGTTCTCGTTACCATCCATTTGGCGCAGCTTGTAGAAGCGGAAGCCGTCAAACTCGCTTGCAGGAGCCTGGTCGGCAACCTCTGCGTAGCTCTGCTGGGTGCTTGGTGAGGTCATGACGTGGTAGACTGGAACACCAATGCGAGTGCCGGCAGGGAGGGTGTGGCCGGTGGAAAGAGTGACGGGGCTCTGCACGATGCGAGCCATGTTGACCAGCTTGTTCGGGCACAGACGCATGCTCTCCTTGAGGAAGGAGTCGAGCTTGCGGAGCTTGACATAGGATGTGCGGCCCATGATGCGACGGCCCTTGTCATCCATGGTGAAGCCATCCTGTTGTAGGACGTCTTCGATCTCCTGGCGCAGGGGGGCGAAGTACTCTGGCCGCGTGGCCAAGTCGTACATTGCACGGGTAACTGTGTAACTGACGCTGTGAATAGAGACCCATGAGACTAGCACGCCAGTCAGTATTATTCCAGTACAGAGGTTCTGAGGTAGACTTACGAGCAAGCTGGTTGAGAGCCAACGATGTAGCAATGTCCTCATGACTGGCACCCTTCGGGATGATGGTGTACTTCAGCAACCATGAGCAGAAGGTTCCCTGCGCATCATCGAACTCGAGGGCCTCTTCATCCGACATGTAGTGTTGAAGAGGCTTCTTCTCGTCCATCCAAGTGTTGGGATCTTGCATCGCTGCTCTTTCCTTGACAAGGTTCTCGACGATTGGCATCAGAATCTTCTTGCCGCTCTCAAGGTGAGATTGCATCTGCTTGACTTCGGGCAAGTACTTGCCAATGAAAAGACGAAGCCAGTAGGGGTACTTGTTCAACGCATGGCGGGCGCGCATCAGATCAATGGTGTAGCCGATAGAAGAACGCAGCCATTCGGGCCTGCGGCTGATGGGGCGACCGATGAAGATGCGCGATAGCATGAGGGCTGAGATCTTGGTAACGCTCATGTGAAGTCCCTTGGTGGACCACTTGTCGCTGCCGACGTCATTGAGCTCGATGTCCATCGCGAAGCGGAGCTCGTCCAAGATGGCGGGGATGGCACCGTTGGTGTGTCTGGTAAGATCTATGCGGACAGTGGGAAGAAGCTCTGTGCCGTAGGTGCCTCCGCCAACCTTGGTAACGGCCATCGAATGGTCAATCTTGACTTCGGCGTGCAAAGAGACCTTTTCCTCGGGCATGTTCTTCACATCATCGACGAGGTTGCCAGGAAGAATGACGATGGGTCTTGATGTCTTTAGGATGAATGGTGTGTCGGGGTACTGTTTCCAAGTCAGGACTCATGTTCTTCGGGAAGCAATGCCGATGGATTGAGACTCACCTTTTCATACATGCGCGTTAGAGTGTTGAACACGCCCTCTGGGCCAGGATCCGGAATCTCAACGGGCATGTTCAGGTTCGGCTTCCGGAAGAAGGAATAGTATGTGACTGCACCGAGTGCAAGAACAATGGCCAACAGAGTTGTTGGCTGGCAGCTCATAACAGAGCTCGCGACGGTGTGTGTGATCGCCATGATGAAGGCTGAGGGTATCGAACACTGCAAACAGGAGCGAACAGATTTGAGGGCTTTGATGACAGCAGAGATGGGCGATCTGGGTGACGATGGGAATTATTTAGTAGTGTGTGTATGTTCCTGAACATGTAAGATTGATGATGCGTCTTCGTTTGCAACTCTGCTGGCCGAGCACGAACATATATCGGCAAAGCTCGTGCTTGACTGCAGACTCTCAAAATAGCGTGTAGTACCTAGTCACTCTCATTATGCTTCTACCAAACACGGAGCTCCTGTTTCTGAGGCTGTGCAGCCCCGAGTCCGCCTGAAAGCCGGTGCGCCTACGGCGTTTTGACTGTGCCGGACCAAGCCCGGCTTGGCCCTGCTATGGAGACCCAAGACTGGGGCCGGTCGAGAGCCAGCTGCAGGAGGCTCAAGCTCCCACGGTGACTTTGTTGACTTGTCTTGGCGAGGCGAACCTCAATTACCTTCGATCTGGTTGGCTGCAGAATATTCATCTTACGGGGTTTGCCAAGCTGGGGCTGCCGTTGATTCATGTTATGTTCGTAGCTGTTGGTGCCGCGCCCCGCAGGCAAGGCCTATTCTAGGGTTGTCATGATTCGTTTGTGACAATGCTGTCTGGAGGTGGAAACTTCTAGGATTCCGTGGGACAAAATGCATCGACCGGAGACTTTCCAGAAGTCACTTCCCCGTGGTTGTGAGATTGACTTTTGAAACCTGTACCGATTAGGCGATCGTTTGCAACAGCTGAGTTCCCTGTTCGGCAACGTCCACACAGGACACCCCCGCTATCTTGGGATGGCACTCCCCATACTTCTGAATCAGCCACGAGTCTTGGCAATCCACAACTTCAGTGTCAACTTTGGATACTCACAGAACAAAAACTACGCCCACGTGGGGGTAACAGGTGGCTAAGGTTGGTGCACGTAGGAACTCTGTATCCAGCATCAAGTCTGTGTTCTTGCTAACCGACAATAGAGTTCAGTGGTGACGCCGGCCGAGAGAACTCAGGCACAGGACAGTTCCGAAAGCCTGGTTCCCAAGTTATGCAATGTAAATCAATCTGGAAGCGCTGAGGGGATTAAGCTTATTCGCTTGTAATCAAGGCGGGTAAAGACTGAACTATCGTGATGAGATGAGCCCGAAGGGCGGAAGCTTCGCGACGAATACGGTCGGGAGTATTTCAAGCAAAGCAAGCGCATCCGAGAACCTACGACAGATCACCAGATGTCAAAAGCGTATCCAGAAGTTTAGCAAAATCTTGTATTTACGAATAGTTCGTATCAATGACAGACCATAAAGTCCCGCTTATTGCCACGCCAAGGACGTAAACGAAATCCAATTGACAACTTGGCATCACTACATTGAGTGTTGCTTGCAAGCATGCAGATACCGTCCCAGAGCCACCATTGGGTAACCATGTCGCATACAGCCAAAATCCAACCATAGAGTGTTTGGAAAGCCCACACTCACATACGCCTCTTGGTCCCAAGTGACGCCCTTTTCGGAGTCGACTTGAGTCCGAAGCAAATATTGAACTCCTCTCTCGATCGCCGGGTCAGTGTGGGGCAAATGAGAAAGAAGAGCCATCACCGCCCAGGCCGTCTGAGTGGGTGTCGAGATGAGTCCTCGGCCAGCTAAGGACTCATCCCTGTACGTGCCTAGGCTCTCACCCCAGCCACCATCAACGTTCTGAACAGCCTTGATCCAAGAGAGGGGCTCTGAGATGAGGATGCCTTCTTCTGGTTGTTCGATTGACTGCAAGTACGGAAGAGCGCAAAGAACACTGCTTGTTCCGTTCAAGTAGTTGACATGCCACCTTGCCCACCATGTTCCTGTGAGTTTGTCTTGTGACTTCGCAATGTACTGGAGGCCTTTTCTGCAAGCCTCACGGACGCGTTGAAGTACAGCAGGAGGCATGATGGATGAGCAGGTTGGTTCCGTGATAATGTAGCCGAGGACCTCAAGAACACGGCCCGTGATATCGGGAACACTGGGATCGAAGAACTCGACACCGTCTGCGAACGGAAACAGATTTGCGACTTTGCTGGTGTTGTCGATGTCATAGGCACCCCATCCGCCATCGCCGCCCTGCATGGCCAGGAGCCAGTTCAAAGCTCGAGCTCCACAGGCAGAGTTGATTTCTTTGGGGTTTCTCATGACGATCGCAAAAAGGCACACAAGGGTATCATCGTTGTCGGGAAAGTACTCGTTCTGTATGGTTTCGTTAGCTAATGCTGCCGGTAGGATGTGCAATCAGGGCTGTACTTACACAGTATTGGAATGACCAACCACCAGGTAGGGAAGCTCGCGGATTTGTCACCAGATAGTCGCCGTGTGTTTTGAGAATCTGGTGGTCTTTGAACCACTTGATGGAAAGGTCGGTCCGATCATCGGCCAGCCCCGTCTCAAGTAGTCCCAGAGTCATAAGTGCCGTATCCCACACAGGCCCGATCGTCACTTGCATACGCAGGCCATCGGCGTCCTCCCAAAGCGCGTCTTCCATAGCTCTCGTCAAGTGACCCATGACGGGGTGGCTTGCTGGGAAACCGGCGGCGTGCAGACCAACCACGCAAAGGAAGTTGGAGATAGTGAGAGATCCAAAGCCTCCCGCGTCGAGATGGTTGACGATGTACTGCACGCATTGGTCGAGACAGTAGGTGCGCAACATTGACCTCTTCAAGACTGGCTCAACCACGCTAGCCGCCTTATCGATCAAAGTGCAGGCGAAGCGACCAACTTGACCATCCTTCCACAAGGTGGAAAGTTGCGGGATTGACTTCAAAGTCCGGTTCAACGGGTTCAGAAACAACTCGTCAAGGAAGTTGCCTCCCAAGGTCTCTTCGCTGTCGTCGGCTCCGAAGGGATGCAAAGGAAAGATCGGTTGGTGGTGCTTAAGCAGCATCACGGGCACTGCTGACACTCGTGACCAGTATGAGAAGGAGTAAATGTTAACTGGCGAAAGGCCGGCAGGAAGAGCCATAAGCTCAGCAGGAACCTGAGCCATGTCTTTCCATGCAATGATGCCGAAAAGTGCCAGCACCAATTGTGTCAAGACGCCGACCTTTGCAACACCACCGTGGCGTAGAACAAAAGCTCTTGCTTTGCGCATGGGCTTGCTGTTGACATTGGTACCGAGAAGCTTCAGCCCAAAGTAGGCTTCAACTGTGGTTGAGACATCTCCGTCCCAGTCGTGAACGGACGGTGCTAAACCCCAGGAGCCATCGTCGGTGTTTTGTTGGGAAAGCAGCCAGCGTCGGAACTTGTCTGCCTCATCTTCGGACAAAGGCATGTCGAGGATTTGTCGAATACATAGCCATTGTACGGTGAAGGAGATGCTGCTGCGAACTTCCAGATACCAGTGGCCATCAGGCTTCATCTGGTCATACGCATGTTCGGTAGCCTGCTGAATACATTTTGTTGCAGACTCCGCAAGATCATTGTCTTGTTGTGTGAGAAGAATGGTGTTTGTTGCCATGATTGTGTCTGATGATGCTCAAGCTCACAGCGATACTGCGTTCAAGGAGTGAAGCCGGCTTCATATCTCGAACTCATATGTTGAGAACGCCTCTTAGCTAAGCGTACACCAGAGGCCCCTACAGCCATCGAGATGCATTCCCCATGGGATACCAAGCGCCGCAGGAGACTTCTCGAGTGGACCCCTTCATGGTCTGTTACGTCACGAGGTTCTCTGGTAGACGGATTTCTAAAACCAGGACATCCCTTAGCGCGTTCAAAGATTGTTTGGGTACCTTATCTCACTGTTAGTTTTGCTGCGTATCACCTGCCAAGCCGTTCTCTGCCAAGAGCTTCGTAGTACGGAGAAATAGAACTGGAGTTCCCCGGCATTCTGCCGTGTGTGCATCGAGACCTTTGCTTTGAGTAGTGAACGTGCTCATCGATTTTCTATGTCAGGTTCCCTGGCATGCTATTATTGGGGCATTGGGGTTTGCGCCAAGACGTCAGATGAAGGTATCGTGGTGGAGGCGATCCATCGCACACTCCCCTGCGGCGATCGACTATGCGGGGTTACAATTCCCGCAGGAGAGAACTACTACACAGGCCGTGTTTTACCGTTCTACAGCTCCAAAGTCGATCTTTCCCCAGTAGGAAACACGAGTCAAGGTCCAAAAACCCAACCTGGAAAAAAGCAGAACCTGATAATCGAATAACACCACTTTATTCAGACGGAGACTATTGAGTCAGAGCACGCACGCCCTGCATTGCTGTCAGTCCCATCTGTCGGCCGGCTCAAAGCCAAGAAACCACCGGGCTGTACCTTCCTACGGGTCAAAGGCGTGTCGTCAATTTTTGGAAAGCTATGGATATCCTGTTGATGTGGTCCCGTGTGGCCGGTCACACCTTCTCTAACGCCTTGGCCAGAAAGCTACCGTGTTGTTGGGCAGTAACGCTGGAATTAGACAGGCATCAATCCAGAAGCTCGGGGATTGTGATCACGATATGTCACCGCAGATGTGAATCGCCATTCTTCATAATAGAACATAAAGATTGTGCAGATGTCATGCATGAACACCGTTGACATATCATGAGACCCGGCAACGTAAGATAGCCTATGGTCCATGAGCCAAATATTTTGTGGCATATCTTTTGTTTCTCTATGGATCACTACATTATCTGGTACTCATGCTTCGCCTAGTCTCAGACCTGAAGAAGTGTCTTGTCAACGGCTCTTTGGGGGATTGCTCAGTGATAACTTTTCTTCCTCGTTTTTTCAAAGTCATTTTGCTCTTTTCAATTTTGGCTCATTCGATTTATCTCAGAGCTAGAAGCCTTTTTTTGGCTTGCCAGGGTTGGTCAGCCACAGTCTATCAACCTCGTCGACAAACGACTTTCACCGTCACCATCACCACAGATACCTATACAAACACAACCATCATTGATACCGCAACAAACACAATGCATCTCACCACGATACACATGGCGTTAGTCGCCACAACGATGGCCAGCATACTCTACTTCGCCTTCTCGTTATTCAGAGCGCGCAGCTTCTTTCGTCGTCTTCAGAAGGACGGCATCCCCATGCCTCCTCATCATCCCATATTAGGACACCTTGGTCTGATGTTGAGCATCATGATATCTCTCCCGCGCGATGTCATGCCAACTGTGGTTCTCGCCGATCAAGTTCGCAGACGGTATCCACACCTGGACAAAGCTTTCTATCTAGACATGTGGCCATTCACTGGACCGATGTTGATGATCATCTCACCGGATCTGATGCGCCAAGCGACTCAGGGCGAGAATTCATTGCCCAAGGTAGCCTTCTTGAAGAACTACATCAAGCCGTTGAGCGGCGGACATGACCTCGTCAGTATGGAAGGCGACGAGTGGAAGCGCTGGAGAGATGTGTTTCGCCCAGCTTTCAGTCGCGCAACCGAGCTTGTGCCCAATATCGTGGAAACAATCTGCGTGTTCCGGGATCAGCTTGTTGGCAGAGCTAAAGGGAACAGTGGTTTATTTCAACTGCACCACTCTGCGCTGAACCTGGCTATGGACATGTCCGGCAAAGCTCTATGGAACCACGATATGAACACCCAGAGGTCCTACAACGACATGGCCGACGCCATTGTTTCACAGCTTAGGTGGTTACTTGTGGAAGGCTTTATGCCATTTGCAAGTCTCAACTTCATCAGGCCTTTGGTACACAAGTATAACGGCTTTCGAATGGAGAGATACATCGCCGGCGTGCAGCACAGACAGAAGACCAATAAGGACGAGGACGACTGCGTGATTAGCCGGGCCATCTCCAAAGTCCGCGCTCGAAACACGGACAAAAAGCTCTCTGCAGACCCATTTCGCGAACTCGGAGGCGAGGCTCATTTCAACAAAGTCATTAAGAGCCAAATGAGGTTTCTTCTTTTAGCAGGCTACGACACCACGGGTTCAACCATCACATACGTCCTGCATATCCTATCCCAACACCCTGAGGTCCTGGCCCGAGTACGACAAGAGCATGACGAGGTGTTAGGCTCGAATGTGTCCCGCGCCGCCCAGCAGCTCAAAGAAAACCCGCACCTCGTCAACCGTGTTCCGTATACTACAGCGGTTATCAAGGAGACCTTGCGCATGTACCCACCAACGTCAACCCTTCGGAACGGAAAGCCAGGGTTTGACCTCTATGATCGAGAAATTCCGGGCTCTACTGTTAGATACCCCACAGAAGGGTGCATTGTTTTTGGCAATCACCACGGCCTGCATCACAACCCTAGATACTGGAAAGAGCCCGATACGTTTCTTCCTGAGCGTTTTCTCACAGCTCTGGGTGACCCTTCGGGCTTACATCCACTCCAGGATGCGTGGCGTCCGGTAAGTCAGCTGAAAATTTCCCGTTATTTTACAGAACCAAACTAACATTCACATGTTCTAGTTCGAGAAAGGACCTCGGGCATGCATGGGCTCGGAGCTTGCAATGGTCGAGATCAAGGCTGTCATCATGCTTGTTGCTCGGGAATTTGATTTCACACCTGCTTATCAGGAATGGGAGGCGTCACAGTCCAAGCAGGCGGTGGGGGAGAATAAGATTGGGTTGGGAGTCTTGCTTCCAGGCAGTGCGCCAAAGCATGTCAACGGCGATCGCGTGTATCAGACTACTGGAGGTGGAGGAAGTCATCCGGCGGATGGCTACCCGTGTCGGGTGAGGTTTGCGCCAGGAGTTTAGCGGATTGAACTTTCAATGCAATACTACGTGTTTTGAATGCATGAGATTTGTCCAAAATTGCGATCGGCTCGTATTCATCTTATCGTGGTGGCAAAGGTGGTTGATGTTGTGACTATTCTTGTGTCGCTCCACACCTAGAACTAACAGTCGTTAGGTCCGGGCCAAAGTCAATCCCTGTGGTTCAGAGCCGTTGGAAGAGTTCTATCACAGATGACTATAGTCTACAATGTTGTTTACGAGTGGGTAGTCGGCGGAAATCTGCCAGTTTGGTACACCCGGTACCGAAACTATACAGCCGAGACCGACACAGTTAACCTCAGCCATGATGTCAATGAGAGACTAAGTCGCTTAGAAATTCATGGCGTATAACAGCGGTAAAACCTACTAACCACTGCATGTCATCCCGCCAACTTCCCGAGCACATAGTCTTTTACATTTCGTCTGAAGTGATTTGCCGGAAAGCAAAAGTCATGAACCGCCAAGCCGTACGCTCATAGCCCCAAAGCTACGGACTTGGAATTCTGACAGCTGGAACTTGAGACGGCTCGAGGCGTTGCAAAACGGCATGGCTTCGAGGCGCCAAGACGAGAACGAGGGGTCTAATTCTGGTGCCGGGAACTTTCAGTTGATGCGTCACGTAGTCATCTTTTGCCGAAATATCTGCCTTGGCATGTGTACGCAGTATGTTTTCGCCCAGCCTTGGCCCTGAGGAACCAGAAGGCCTTTTGCAACAGACACAGCGTATCGTTGCTACGCCCGCCCCAAAGAAAGGCATGAGACAAAGGCACCGGCATGGAGGTGGGGTCTTATCCGCACACCCCGCAGCCCGCACCGGCGCTGGGGGTCCGTCGGCGATCCTGGTCCCCAGGGACCCCTGTGTTGGAACTCATCGTTATATCGGGGACCGCACATAACGAGAACGAGAACTACCTCATCTCGAAGACGGATTGCAATGATAATGATGGCGCAAGTGATGATCGATCGCGCGATCCTCGGGTTCGAGCAAATTGGTCAGATAGTCTTTTCGCAGCTGCGCGTGTTCTCGCAACTATTTCGACGGCCATACTCGACATGGAGGCCACAATCAACCATCTGGACAACCATCATGCCCAAAGCAACAGCTCAACGCATATGGGTAGAGACAATTATGAGCTTTCGAGAGGCTACATCCTGGCGTCAACAATCATTGCAATCCTATTTGCACTCTTTTCATACTTCAAGAAATCATCCAAACGCACTCCTCTACCATGGGTAAATCAACCTGGGCCTTTCGATATTTTTCGAATGAAGGCCAAATACAGGTTTCTCATGGGAGCTAGAGACATGGTTCTTCAGGGATTTGCGGACTTCCCTGACAGCGCCGGCTTCCGGATGGTTGCTGACGGTGGTGAAATCGTGATGCTCGCGCCAAAATATGCGGCCGAGCTGAAAAACGACCATAGAGTCGACTTTGTGAAGCTGTTTCTACAGGTAAAGGACGCTGTTCCTGAGATCCGAATTCGCTGTGCTAGGTCTGATCACAGAAAACAGGACTTCCACGAGGGGATACCGGGCTTTGACTTTACCCAACAAGGTGCTCGGGACGCGAAGATACTGCGAGAAGTAACTAAAAGCCAATTAACGCATCATTTGAGTAAGACACATTGAGACGCGTTGTGTGGACATGTGATGACAGTTGAATTAGGCAAGATCACCGACTCACTATCGACCGAATGCACGGCCTCTATGCAAAGAATATTCACAGACAATGAAGGTAGTTTATCTCGAGTCTCTCCGGATTTATAACTCACGACTAACATGCACTCCAAGAATACCACGATGTCGAGCTTAGATCTTCGCTTCTAGATCTGATTTCACGGATATCGTCCAAGGCTTTTCTCGGTGGCGATCCATTGTATCAAAATGAGGATTGGCTCAAAATCACCACTACGTACGCTGGAACGGTCAATCGTGCAGCGGTGATGCTCCGACTATGGCCACGCGCACTTCGTCCTTTGGTGCACTGGGTGCTTCCGTCTTGTCGCGAAGCGCGCACTCAGGTCCGCCTGGCTCGCCGATTATTCGAGCCAATGGTTGAGCGAAGACGTCGAGCCAAGGCAGAAGACCCGAACGTCGTGTTTGATGACACTGTCGAGTGGGCCGAAAAGGCTGCGAAAGGCATGCCCTATGATGCATCTGCTGTTCAACTTTTGTTTTCCATGGCCGCTATGCACACCACCACAGACCTCCTTACTCAAGTTATTCTCGATCTTGCAGCTCATCCCGAGATGCTAGATCCTCTGCGTAAAGAGATTGAGACAGTGCTCAGCGAAGAGGGTGGATGGACCAAGGCAGCACTACACAGGATGAAGCTCCTCGATAGTGTGTTGAAGGAGTGCCAGAGAATGAAACCAGCGGCCATTAGCGGCCTCCGGGGAATCCTGAACACGGACGTTACGCTATCTGATGGACTCCGTCTTGCCGAGGGTTCGTCCATCGCTGTATCGTCCCATCTGCACTGGGATGAGAAGATCTACAAAGACCCGCTCAAATGGGATGGCTGGCGTTTCTACAATCTACGCCAGGTGCCCGGAATGGAGCACCGGTCTCAGCTAGTCTCATCGACCTCCCCCGACCACATGGGCTTCGGCATTGGAACGCACGCATGCCCTGGCCGTTTCTTTGGGGCGCATGAGGTGAAGGTTGCTCTGTGCCATTTTGTCTTGAACTACGACTGGAAGCTCAGTGAAGGCACCGTGCCACAGACGCGAACCTTCATGTGGTCGCTTGTAGCTGACCCAAAGGCAAAGATCTCCATTCGGAGAAGACGCCATTAGCGATTAGTTTCAACTCAGATATATGGCTGTGCAAGTGGAATTGCCAGAGATACGCGTCACACTTCTAGGCCAGGCATCAAGAAATCAAGTACATGCGTTCAAGATACTGCTTTAAGGCCTAGAATTGCATTTGATCATCGCCGGGACTTCCGTTCGCGTAATAATTGATTGGTGTTGGGGAACTTTAAGCTTTTCGTCTAGGGATGTCTTTATCGTGCACCGTTGGAACAGAAAATGTCGCCGAGACATCATCTGGGTGGCCGTTGCCTAGTATGCGGCCGGAGGGCCAAGGCGGACTTCCAGAGTTGGCATCGCCGCTGCTGGCAGTGTAAACTTAATGTAAGCTCAAAAGCTTTACATTTCACACCTACGTCATTTTCGGTACTATTGCGTTTCTGTGTCGCTCAACTCAAGCTGCTTGTGCCTTGACTCCCAATTGGCAGATGTCCTAACCATAAACGGGCGATTCTTACCGTTTCAATTCTAGACGGTTGTCTTTTTGGGAGGCTGGAAGCCTCTGGGCTGAGGTGACAAGTCCTCTAAGCCAAAAGTATCGTAGTTTAATTTACCAACTGGCGTTTCCTGTCGTTGACTGCAAAAGCCTGCCAAGACATGACATCTGAGTAGAAGTGCGACATTGAGAGATGCTTCTCCGCAATCTATTCTCGCTGACTGATCCGTCAACACAGGGCCATCTCTAAGACAGCACATGCAAAAGTGAGTTCCCATTGACGCTTTGAGAGACTTGCTGTCTTACGAAGAGTTTTGATACCATAGTCGATGACTCGACGGGCTAGACCGTGGGCGGAGCGCCAAATAAGTTCGTCCGCAACGATGGCTTCGACTCAACCATCGAATGACTTCTCATAAGCCGATGACAATTAAATATATATTCATCGGTAAACATTCCACTCTCGACGCCTAAGCACTCAACCACATCCGCTACCGCAGCTGCAACATTCGATCTGATCATTCATCATACCCTAAACAATATTTGATCGTTCACTACACCTAGCTCTCGCTCAAGCTTTCAAATCAACTAATCTCATCAACATGGGCAACATTATCTCCCTTGTATCCACTTCGGCTCACACCATCAATGCCTTTGCGAAGCAAAGCAAAGAACTCCACGCTAAACTCACTGATCTACAAGACCCGGCAAAGCTTGTGTTGGACACCGCCGGTGTCATTGCCAAGACATTGTCTTTTAATGCGTGCTCTGATTCGTTATTCAAGGCCGTCAAAACACTTTCCGGGGGCCAGGCACATGGCGAGCTCATCAAGCTGGGTGGCCAGATCCAGAAGAACGTGGAGCAAATCTCCAACGGGGTTGATTCTCTCAATAATCACCAAAACCAAAAAAGCCACAGCTTTCCTCAGCACGTTCACGACTTCATCGCCTCCTGCTATGATGAAAACTCCGAAGCTGGTGAAGACGAGTACTTCTTCGTATATCATCCTGGCACCGACTGGTACCCGGCCTTCAACCGCCTGTTGAAAGAATATCCACTTCCCAAGTTCTGTGGCACATTTCACAGTATTGGGGCAATGTCAGTCTTCCTGGAAAAGTTCAGGCTGGTTATTGGACCAGACCCTACGATCAACATTTTGGTCCCAGCTGTTCATTTGTTCGTTGTACCGGATGAGATCGAAATCCCATCGGACTTGTTTCCTATTCGCATTAGAGGAGAGCTTCACCAAAGTGGTAACCCCTACGTCCACGTCAACATAAGAAACAGTTCACCACTTCTGCGGGACTGCTTATACAATGTTGCGAACATCAACAAGATTAGCGCGACCAACAGTGACGCCAAAGCCGCAAACCGACAACAAAACGTTCATGGCAACTGGCGCCGAAAGGTCTACTCGATATCGCGAGCAGCCGCAGTAGGCGCGCCTGCGGCTGCTAAGCATATGGCTACTTGCAGAGCGCTGAGTGGACTTCTCGCCACGCCCGCGGCTGTTGTCTGTCCTCCTTTGCTGGTCACAGTCGCTGTAGGATGCGCTGTGGCTGCTCTTAGTTGCGGTGCTGTTGCAGGGATCAAACCTGGTAAGGCGGCGAAAGAAGACGCCGAAATTCAATGGGACAGACGATTCGGCGCGGAGAAGGGTAGTTTATCTGGTCACAACCTGCTGGCAAAGATGAAAGAAAAGAGGGGTAGTTTGTCTGGTCACAATCTCCTGGCAAAGATGAAGGAAATTGAATTCTGAATGCAACATGTCTCAGAGGCTTCAGTCGAAATGGTTGGGCGGTTGACCAGCTAACGGTATTCTTATTCATTACTTCAAATCTTTTAGTCCCTGTATTCACAACATTCAGATGACTCGAGTTCTTGGCAGCAATTCCACTAGGTAGTAATATATGCAGTGACAATGATTGTTTACGCGCAATAAGTTAATGCTCAATTCTTAATCGAAACACAGAATTGAAGACGCCAAGTGAATGGAATGTTTGCGGTCACAAATTGCGTGTCCCCTATATCTGATCCGAGGCTAGTAGTCCACCGGGAACCGAGCTCTGAGACGTTCGCCATACTTGTAAAACAGGAATGGCACAGGAACAAACGCAATCCCGATGAAAGCAAGCAGACTATTTCCCCATCCAAGTCCCAACCCTTTGTATAGAGGCGGCCCAGCAAGAGGTAGAAATGCTCCGAACAGACTTCTCATGAACGTATTCGCGGCCAAGGCCGATGCGGACGCCTCGGCACCAAATGCATCCACGAGATAAATCTGAGACGGCATAAGAATGATGAAGGAGCCAAAGCCAATAACAAATGTGCCGAGAACTGGAACGATCCAGTGAGTGTCCCCGGCAGCACTCCAACCATACCAGAAGAAGCCGATTGAGACGACAGGAGCCATCCAGACCGACAGCAGTAGGCGAATTTCGGGCCGCGCTGGCACTCCGGTAGCTTTGGCCGCCTTGACTTGCTTGTCGCTCACCGCGCCAACCAGCCCGACTCCGAATATCATCCCAATCGCCAGGCCCAGGTATGCTAGTCCAGCCTGAGAAGGGCCCCAGCCGTACTTTACCTGGAACACAGCTGGGAAGGTTGTATAGAGAAGGTACGTGAGGCCGAACATAAAGGCGCAGTAAAGAGAAATGAGAGAAATGATGGGCGAGAACATAAGCATCTTGGTCGGGCGCGCGATAGCTCTCCAAAGCAACTGTCCCTGTGTGATATTCTTTGCAGTTCGGGCTCGTAGGCGATCGTTGCCGGTGGTCTTGCGCAAGTATGCAGCCTTTCGTTCGAGTAGAATGGGTTCGAAGGTTTCGCGCATGATGACGATGCCGATCAGAGAGACCACACCAGCCTGCGAGCTATCGTTAGATGTGTGCACGCAATAAAGAAGTATCAGAGACCTACCAGGATGAAGATCACCCAAAATGTCCATCGCCAACCACTGTACTGCGTAAGTGCACCTCCTACTACAGGCCCAACGACTGGACCGAGTAGAGGACCAAGGCTGAACAGTGCCATTGCCTTGCCGCGCTCATCTGCCTTGTACATGTCGGCAATGGTGCCTCCTCCAACAGCCATCGGCGCTGCACCGGCACAGCCAGCCAGAAACCTGAAGGCGAGGAACATGGAACCGTTTGAGCTGAGAGCGCAACCAATTGTAAAGGCTTCATATGTTATGTTGCAGACATGATAGACGGCAAGTCTACCATAGATCTCTGATAACGGTGCAATGAGAAATGGACCTACGCAATATCCCAAGACGTAGATGGAAACTGTCAAGGATGCAACCATAGAGCTGGTGATTTCAAACTCTTTCACAAGGTACTGAGCTCCAGGCGCAAACATTACAGCTGCCAAGTTCCTGAATAGACATTGGAATTAGAGGTCTGTGTATGATATGGCCGTTGACCTTGACGTGAAAGATTGACATACGAGTATAGCGTGAACGAGCTGACGAGGAGGACGTGGGCAAGCTTCGTTCGTGGTCCCCAGTTTTGGGGGTTCAAAACATCTTTTGGGCCTTCCCAATCGACGACCGACGGGTCGCTGTTTGCTTTCTCGAAGGCAAGGCTGTTGACAGACTCCACGGGAGACTGCAAGTTCTCGTAGGGCGACCTGCGCTGGGCATCGCGATCTTGCTGCGTAAGCGATGCCATGTCGATGACTTTACTCATTCTTCTCAATAACTCTCAAAGTCTGTGGGAAATGAAGTTGTTTGGACAGCACGAGTGTTGTCAATGTAACGTGCCAGACAAAATTGTTGGCAACATCACTATATTCTAGGCGTAGATCTTAGACAAAAGTCCAAGGATAGCATCGCCATCACCGACAAGTGATCAGCCTAATGTCCAGCTTACCCTGTTCACGTCAAACTTTGGGTGTGGCCATGCCAAGGCAGAATATCAATCGCCGTAAATAGCATCGGGGACCATCACGTCTCGATGCACATATCCAGAATGACATTATCGAGGTAGTTCAGTCTGTAAATCTTGTGCACGTCCTCATCCCGATTTTCTATCCACCCCCGAAAGTCGCCGGTGCGGGCAGAAAGAGCTTCTTGATTCATGAAACTCTGAGCGAATGGGTTGCCTGCTGAGCGGGTAACACTTCAGACAAACCCACGCGTCTCCGACGGCCTCAACCCGCCCCTCCTCGTTCTCGCGATCCTTGGCATGTGAACCGGGGTACCTGATCGACAAGTCCCGGCTCCGGTCCCCACCATTGATGGCCGCACAACGGTTCCCAGAATGTCGGGGCTGCCGCCAAGACTGGACGCTCGGCACCAGTTATTTTGCCCAGAAACGGCGTCGCGTAATCTTGACCAGGCCTTTGAGGCGATGCAGAGAGGTTCATCTCCACATCGTTCACATATAGTTACAGTGACGCTACTTGCACCGCTTCATGGGTGCTTTTCGTGATCGATTTCAAAATACCAATTGCCAAGCGGGACCTTAGCCTCCAACTTATCAACATGTTTCCAGCCAAAGAGATGTTCATTTCTACTCTGCACGAGCGCGGTGCTCTGCTTCTGTTCATCGCCGTCATCTTTTCTGCTTCATACATCTACCCTCGGCTGCGTGTTAGACAAAGACTCAAGCAGATTCCTTTGATGGGAGAAGAGCTTGGGGGCTACTATAAGCGCCGCAACGAGTTCCTGAGGGATCCCATGAGATTCTACTGGGAAGGCTATCAGAGGTGCAAGAACAAGTGTTTCCGAGTAACACACTATGAAGGTAGGCTGTCTCTGTTTGCGTGCTCAACGTGAAGTCCCTAACCATAATCACAGGTGAACGGATTGTTCTCCCAGGAGCGGCGCTGGACGAGCTCTGGAATATGTCGGAAGCTGTCCTCAATAAAAATAAAGCATATGATCAGGTAAGATCACGAGTCAAAGTGCACTGTGAGACCTCAATCAGACGCGATACTAATATGCCACATTTATACAGAGGGTACTCAGACAGTACACGGGTTTGCCATCCGGCAACCCCTTTCTGGTGCACTGCATCCGCTCAGACCTAACCAGAAATCTCAGTATGTCCGATGCCTCAATGGCCAACCGACCAGAATGACTAACTTGCCGCAGAGCGCATCAACCATCATCTGGTCTCCGAGGTTGAGAAGACAGTCGACGAGGTCATTGGCCCATGCGAAGAATGGACCTCGCACCCAATCTATCGGACTTCACTCCGGATCGTTGCCATCGTCTCCGGTTCTGTCTATGTCGGGCCAGACGTATGCCGCAACGAACAGTTCATCCATGATAGCAGTAGGTTTCCCCTCTGATTTTCTCACATACCAAAGCTTACAAAAAGTGCAGTTCACTTCACAGAAAATGTCTTGGCTGCTGTACACATGCTTCAGATGTATCCCGGTTGGATGCGTCCAATCGCCCGGTTCTTCAAGCGCGAGCGAACCCAACTAGCCAAGTCATGGAACCACCTGAAAGCCTCAAAGAGGCTAGTGGTGCCAATCATCCAACAGCGACGCGAAGAGGTTCAGGCTGGTCGTGCTTCCTACGACGACATGCTCGCCTGGATGATGGCGAAGCAAGGTGAGTGGAAGCAGACCGACGACGATGTAGCCGGCTCAATGGTTCAACTCGGTGTTGCCTCGACCCACAATACATCTTCGACGATTGCTCAAACGCTGTTCCAATTGGCGATTCGCCCAGAACTAGTCGAGGAGCTTCGCGAAGAAGCACAGAGGGTTTGCGACCAGTTCGACGGACAGCTGAGCCCCGTCGCCCTGCATGAGTTGAAGCTCCTCGACAGTGTCATGAAAGAAGCCCAGCGACTTAACCCCACGACACCTTCCCATTTCCACCGTGTTGTTGAGAGGGACATCACCCTTAAAGATGGCACTCTCATCCCCCAGGGCATCACGGTTGAAGCCATTTTTGCGCCGCCCTTGTTCGACCCGGTTCTCTTTCCCAACCCACAAGAGTTTGATCCGTATCGCTTCCTCAAGCTTCGCAGAGGAGAGACTCCGGACCCCAACCACTACAAGAACAAGGAGCAGTACACGTTCAGCCATGCGACGAAAGAGAATCTGGCGTGGGGCTACGGAGCTCATGTTTGCCCTGGCCGTTACTTTGCCAACAATGAAATCAAGTTGATTTTGGCGCGCATGCTTTTGCGTTACGATATCCGGATGCCTGGTGGAGTTAAGGAGGTGATGAAGCCTCAGAGGGGCGGTATGGGATGGACTCCTGACTTGCGGAAGCCGATTGAGTTTAGAGCAATCAGGAGGTAGTTGCAACAAGTGATCGAGGTATTTCTAGTTCTTACAGAATGGGATGTTAAACTATTCCTGATGTCTTCCATATCTACCGTGGTTGAATTGACACTGGCCGAATAACACTTCGTGGGCTTTCACGCCCAGGACTCATCACATAAACCTGCCCTTCAAGTCCAATGCAAATCGTACGCAGAAGTAGTGAATTCTTTGGTAATGGATCTCAATTTCTGACGTGATTGATTTGGAGATCTCCATTGTAACTGAAGTGGCTGCATCGTAGGCGACAGAGGAACCAGAGGCAAGTTCCGGAATCGACACAATTGCACCTCCGCAAGAACTTACTTTCCTTTCGGACAATGAAGTCGGAAAAGTGATATGGAACTTTGATTTAGCGATCTCGATCAAAAACACCGCCCGCCCTGAAGGTTCGAGACCCGCGGAACTGACAATGCGATCTTCGCCCCTGATGCTTGTCAGTAACCGCACGCTCCAATTCTAATTATGCACGTAACACATCTGGGGAGTGCCTTTACACGCCAAGCCCTACAGTGAGATACTTGAGTCAAGAGCCCCATGGATGCCGATGTCCGCCGGAGCTCCTAGTTTAGTAGGGCGGAGTGCCGCACATGGCCGCAAACCCAGGGCTCTGTTCCATTGTTCCCGGCAGTCGGCGCTCAAATGATAGCATCATGAGTTTCTGCCGGCCTACGGCAGTAGAACGGAGACTTGGCAGCTCCGACCAAGAATTCAAGGCATGATTGAACACTGGTTTGACCGTTTCCGCCGGGACAAATTACGTCGTCGTGAAAGCGTTTAAAGCCAAAGTTCCTAATTCTGAACTTCTTGGAACACCTCGCGCCCATTGAAAAGCGCGTGTTGCTCCCATATTGTTTATCAATCAAACATTTTCACCTGCCTTAGCAATAGAAATCGGAGAGCACTATCAATCACAATGACTCAAATCGTCGAGCTCGGGTGGATCCCTGTCAAACAGGACTACGAGGATTCTCCCGTCACCAAGTCTATCAAGGAACGGCATTCCAAGGTCATCGGCAGCTCCGACCTGGTAGGCCAATGGGAAGGCGTCCAGGGTCCCGGCGGACTGGATGGCAGCCCGGTCAAGAGCGTCCATTTGGCTGCAGGTAGGATGCGATGCCCAGTATTACGATGAATCTTAGCGGCTAACTCTGATAAGTCTGGACTTCCGTCGAAGCTGCAGACGCCGCGAAACAATCCCCAGATGGTCTTGAGATGAGGAAGCTGTGGGGCCAGGTCATTGAGATGTCGAGTCCTTCAGGCCCTGTACTACCCTGGACAGGATACTTCAACCTGGATGGCGGAGACTTTGCGAAAGTCGCTGCATCGAATGTTGTTCTTTTGACTGGGTCGTATCTGCCAGTTAACGCTGATACCGCGGCGTTCGAGGAGAAGTGGCAGTCTATGGTGCGTGCGCAGGCAAGTTCGAGTGGTGTCACAGCTGGTTTCTTAGCCGGTGTGCACGGATGGTCTGTTGGAGAAATTGTATACAAGGGCGAGAAGAAGAAGGCATTCATGGTTGTGACTGGATGGGACAGCGAGGAGAGCGTGAAGGCGGCGATCGGTGGAGACAAGAGAGCCAAGTTTGAAGAAGCGCTGAGGGAGTTCAACATTCAACAACAGGAACATGTTTGTACTGGACTGAAGAAGATAAAATAGTCAAATATTCTAGATATCTCCATGATGGAGCAAACACTATATCACTTTTGACAACGTGAAAGAAAGCAATTCGGTCCCCGAGTACATCGGTCATGTCATGTGACTGACCACGTGATCATCACCACTCTGCGATCGCAATTTTACGCTCAATCCGGCGGCGTTCAGGAGCTCACAGCGGTCTGGTCCACGCATTCGTCGGGAACAAGTCGCGCAAAAGAGACGCGCCGAGACCACACACCGCAGCGCGCTCCCGAGATGAACAATTTCATGCGGTCTCGGGCAGACGCAGGTTGGTTCTCGGTCGGCCTCGCCTCCTCATTTCCCGATCTCGGCTCCGACGACGGCAACCTATCAGATCTTCGCTTCTGCAACACCGACCTGAAGCCGGGATGCAAGGTGTTCCACGCGCCGAAAGCGAACGGCTCGGTGCAGCAGAGCACGGAAGTGGACATCTCGCCTGATGCGTTTGAGAGTGCCGAGATGGAGGGCGACTTGAAGGACCAAGTGATGGTGTTCCGGTTCAAGGGGAAGTTTCACGCGATTGATCATGTGAGTTGGCGGGTGTAATGCTGCGACTCGACCGTGCTGACATGAGTGGATAGAAATGCCCTCATTCATCGTACCCTCTGTCTCAAGGTGTTCCGTTTGATATTGAGGATTTTGGAATCGTGCTCAGCACTGGAGTAACCTGTCCGAAGCACAGCTGGTCCTTTGATCTGACTACAGGAATGTCAGACCGGGCGAGGTACAAGCTAGGAGTCTGGGAGGTGCAACTCCGCGATGCCGCAGGCTCTGGACCCATGGTCAAAGTAGATGATGGAAGCTCAGAGACCCCGGAAAAAGAGGTGTGGGTGAGGAGGAAGCAGCGAATCGGTTAGACTAATCCATGATACCACATTTCTTTTCAACCCAAGGCGCCAAATTCGAGCGTCACATTGCATCATCACATTCACGAATGATACCAGCGGAATTATTGCAACAAAAAGATGTACTTCGCGTACTAAAACTGTCTATAGGGGTATGTTACATGTACATGTGCGTTCTCAATATTTAACGTGAAAAATACAAGCAGATAAGAACATCGACTGGCGCTTAGTACCAGGTGGCCTTGTTCCAGAAGAGGGCCTTGTCGTTGGCAAGGTCATCCTCGTCGAGGTAGAAGGTGGTGTTGAAGACAATCTGAGTGCCGGCAGTGGTGTCGTTGCCGTACTGGGGCCACTCGAGCTTGTCCTCGGCCCACATCGTGTTGGGGTTGCCGGTAAGCACGAAGGACATAAGATACTTCTGCATCATGACGGCGATGGTGGCGTTGACAGAGGTGCTGCCGCCCATGCCACCACCGCTGGGAGGGCCGCCGGCGCTGGAGGTGGCGGTGGCAGAGGCAGCGGCAGACGTAGCAGTCGCGTTGGAGGCGGCGGTGGTCGTGGTCGTGGTGCTGTCGGAGGAGGAGTCAGCCAGGGTGTAGGTGCTGTACCAGTAGTAGCTCTGGTCAGTGCCGTGGGTAGCCTGGTCAAGCGCGACGAGGCCGTTCCAGGTCTGGTTGTTCATGGCGTGGGTGAGGGCGAGGTTGTGCGCCGTCAGGTCGAAGTGCTGCTTCATGTCGGCGAAGCGCAGGCCGGGCTCGGTGTAGTCATCCTCGGGGTACAGCGCGAGGATCTCGTCGACGACGGAGTCGGCGATGGCGGGGAAGAAGATGCGCAGGTAGGTCGCGACGTCCTCGGTGGTGTTGACGCCCGAGTAGGACTGGGAGTTGGCCTCGTGCAGCTCGTGGGTGGCGACGACGGGGCCGGAGAAGTTGAAGCGACCCTGGTAGAGCTGGGCCTCGTAGGTGTCGGCGATGATGTCGCCGTCGACGCGGGGCTGGAACTGGTAGGTGTAGGCGTCCTGGACGGTGGTGGCGGCGGTGATGAGCGTGTCGAAGTCGACACTGCGCATGCACTCGATGCTGCCGCCCGCGCAGCCGGCCTCGGAGGAGACGTTCAGCCAGAAGGCGTCGGCGTGCTGGTGGCCGGCACCGGGGACGAAGCCGGGGGACATGACGTAGGCGCGGCTGTAGAGCTGCTCGGCGTGGCCGGCGAAGCGGGTCATCTGGAAGAGGACCTGGGACGCGCCGGCGGAGAAACCAACTGCAGTGATCTCGTCGGGGTTACCGCCGAACTGGGAGATGTACTTCTTGGTCCACTTGAAGGCGTGCTCGACATCCCAGATGGCAGTGTTGGAGGTGCCGCCCTCGTGCAAGAAGGTGGGACCGTTGGCCAGGCCAGTCATGCCGAGACGGTAGTTGTAGGCAACGTAGACGAAGTCCTGGGACAGATCGAAGAGACCCTCGGGGGTGTTCTCGGACTTGCTGCCACCGGTGAAGCCTCCACCGTACGTCCAGACCATCACGGGCAGGTTCTTGCCCTCGGAGTTGGCAGGGGCCCAGACGTCCATGTACAAGCAGTCCTCCTCGGAGCTGCAAGCAACATCAGCGGAAGCCAAGTCACCGGTGTTGACCTCCGTCTCGACGGGAGGGTCCTGTGGCTTGGCCCAGCGGAGGTCGCCGGTCGGGACGGCGGCGAAGCGGATGTTCTGGTACTTGTAGTATCCGACGGACTCGTTACCGGCGGTGGCAACTACGGTGCAGTAGTCGAGAGTGACGGAGGGCATTGTGCCGGAGCCGGCGGTCGCGGTCGGGGCCGAGGTGGTGGTCTGGGCGACGGCCGCCGAAGCTGCCATCAGCAGCGATGAGTATTGGAACTTCATGTTGGGTATCTTGAGCGAAGGTTGGTAGCGATCGGATGTTGTCGTGAGTTGCGATGCCTCGAAACAAAGTTCACGATGTTGAGGCCATGACCAGCCCGATATATATAATCATCCTATATGTTGTGGAAAGTCTTGTCAATACCATCCATGGTTCTCCGCATTCACCGGTGAGCACGACGCGTACTCCGAGCCGCGTAAGGTAGCGCACCTCTGAGCCTCATTTACAATCGTCATGCTTCCCTGCGTTCATCATAAGGACCATCTCGAAAAACAAGCGCGGCGGAGGAGGCTTGGGTCGCGATGTTGTAATTGGAAAACGAACGACTCTGATGATTGGCTCGCATCACCCCCACAAGGCTTTTTAGAGTGGGATGAACTCTCGATATGACTCCGGTTCATGAATCGGAGTTGATTTTAGCGCGGGAACTTGCCGCCCCCTACCGAGCTTTTGGGCCTCGGAAAGATGTCCCACAATTTAGAAAGGGGTCCTGGCCCCCGGAAGGCTATTCCAGAAGCCGTTGTCTTTGGCAACTTTGTGTTTGTTGTCGATCTCTTGCTCTCTCAGCCCAGCGGAGAGTGGGAGGTGGGGTTGAAGCGAGAGAAAGGGGGCGGAATCGGTTGCTTTAGTGCTGTCGGACCGCACCCACTTTCCGCTCCGCCTTCGGTGCCGGCACCGATAAGCCACATCTAAGGCTCTTGGCGGATGCCAAAGCCGTGTATGAAGATATAAAATATATTGCAGTCATGTCCGAAGCACCGAGATCGCCGCGGTTGAGTTTGGCGTTTTGACGCACATTGTAAAAGACAGAAGCTTGTCTTTGAGTGAGTAGGACCAACAACGGGCACGCCGACTTGGCAGTGGGCCTGAAGTTTGAGAGAATGTTCTATGAGAAGGTTTGAGAAACAAATCATCGACTGTGTAGGTCACAAGTAATCTAAAACAGAGACGAGAAAAGCTCAATTGTTATCAAAAAGCTCGACGCAAACAGCCAGAATCGACTCACACGAGATGGATGACACGGTTTCACGACATCTGGATGCAATTTTAACTGCAGGTAAGCTCGTACGAAGTCGAGATTCATACCGAGCTTCTCAATCCACGATGGGCAGCCGTATCCAGCCGTTCGAAGAGGGTGTGCCATCATTACAGCTTGCAAGGGTGTACCACGAGACCTGCGCTCATGGGTCACCTTATTTACACGAAGAACCCGACAATTTGCTGGACTCTTCCTCGTGCAGGAGACAAACCCATTTTGGCCTGGGCATCGAATTTCACAAGATAGCACTTATCCTTTCGTAATGAGTAGAGATTACTTGATATCTCAAAGCGTATTCATCGGATATTGTGTGTTCACTCCATTTTCTGGTCATCAGAAAGTCCCAAGCAGGTTCTTCTCCGGAAACACTAATAAGTCAGGCCTCGCGTGAGTCTCGAATCTCGTTCATACTCCAAATAACACACAAGTCGGCCACATCGTTCTTCAATCATTGAATTACATGACCAGTCCAGGCAGCCATCAAGGATCACCAAAATCAAGAACGAATACTTGCCGTAGCTCCGTTCCTGCGGTATGTCCACGTAACAAAGGGACAGCCCGGTCTCTTCTATTGTCGCCTCCTGTTCCCATGAGCCATGCAGACGTCACCCCCGCATTGCGCTCCAAATTTAGATTTGCCCTGGGCCTCGTTAGTTTCCGCACTTCATCGGCTTTGCCCCACACCTCTATACCACTACCGCTCCGTTACCATGCGACGAGTCCGGTCTAGATTCTTCACTTGATCACGTAGACGTTCCATTGAATGGGTTCAAACAGTTGGCGGGGCCTTTTAATCACGTCCGAGCAACAAAATGGGGAGAAAGTGTTTCTCTGAAGTCTTCCTTGGTAACATCGAGTTTTGAATCACCACAATGTCCATGAATGATTCTCAACTGGAATCGCGCATTTGAGTTGACCGCTATTTCTATCGCTGTACATACACATCCAACACGCCCTATTGCCGCTGTTTTTTCTCCTCGTTCAAAAGTCGCCTCATTTGCATAACGGTTCTGACCTTTTGTGAACACGCCCAGAGCCCGTCGCCTTTCTCCTCGAGGTCGTAAGGTGACGGTAAATCTGGATTGATAAAACCATCGGCTTTCATGCCCTCCCAGTACTCTCTGAACCCTTGCTCTGACATCTTATCCTCATATTCACGGAGGAATGCATCCTCATGATATGCCCTCACTGCTTTGATATGACCAGGTAGGATTTGCCCACCGTTGACTTGTGCAAGAGTGAAGGCGCCCATGTGCTCCAGTCTCTCGACACCAAGCTCTTCTGAGGATTCATCTTCAACCACACGAACAATGGCTCCAAAGATGCGCTCAGAAGCAGCATAGTCCGGGTCTTCGTCTTCCCCGGAAAGGTCCAAGGGAGCGCCAGAGGGCATAGCGGGTTGCAGATGCCATCGAAGCCCAAGTGAATACATTGCCGCACAAGGGGATAAGCTGTAACTCACTATGAACCTTTGACGCGTCAGTGTTGTCTGCTCCACCACGTCTTCAACTCCCAAAGCTACCAGCGTTTCATCGCGCAGGTTGTTTATCTTGATAGAGTGCATCTGGTCTCCAAAACAGCCTCCGTGGACAGCTACCCAATGGACTCCATCAACTGGATTTCTATGGTGCACGAGGTAGCACTTGATGGCGAAATCGATCTCCCGAACTCCGATATCTCGGCAACTCCTGAATGGGCCTCTTGCGTCGGGTTTGCCCACAGGATCTTCGTTCTAGGCAATCTCTTTGTCGGCGTTTTCGACATCAACTGTGCGCTTGGTTCTGGGTGCGCGCTTCTTCTTCTTGGCCTTGGCCTTGGCCTTGCCCTTTCTTTTTCTGGCTGAGCCTCCTTTGGATTTCGGCTTCCCACTCTTGGCCTCGTTCCGCTCGCCTTCGTTCTCATCTTCTTCGTCTTCTTCGCCCTCATCCCCTTCGTCAGCTTTCCCGCCAACATCGTCGCTCTTCTCGTTGCCTGCGGTGATGCTGCTCACACCGATTTGAGTTACTCCTGGCGGATGGCCAACGTCGTACGAAATGAGAAATGCTGGACCAGACACAAGCCCAACGTGGCCAGGCGGTGCAAAGCCCAACAGGCTATGATTAAGCCATTTCTCTTGTCTAACGGCGTTTTCATTGGCGTTGAAAGTGATTAGGTCGACTCCGTAAGGAGTAATGGGTTGCCTCCATTCATTGTTGAAAGTCCACGAGGCGGCGGGGAGCTTCATTTCCTTGACATAGTCGAATGCTTCTTGGCGGTCTGTTTCGATGTGGAGTTTCCCGATGGAGTCGTCAAATGTGACTTTGAGCCAGACGAATTGAGGCTCGTCGGTGCAGGGAAGAAACAACGCGCGGTAATGGTGTTCTGAGGGCCGTTGCGTCTTGCTGAATTCGGCAAATCTCGCGCAAATTCGTTCGTGTTCAGTGGGAATATTATACCGGCATTCTTCTTTACAATACGTAGTCCTGCAAGTTGGGCAGCGGGACTGACCGGAAGTTGTGAATTTGTTGCAAGCAGCGCAGGCTTTCGAGTCGGTATCTTCATCGTCCTGCCATTTCTCCGGTGTCGATGTACTGAAGAATGCAGTTTCCAGATACTCGTGGAGGGCCCAGGTCGGCTTGCACTCAGCGGCGACGTCAGTTGGGCGAGGCTCGGCGGTGGTGTCGGGAGCTGGCTTATACTCGTCTAGTTGTAAAGAAAAGCGAAGGGTCGGCATGGTGATCGTAGCGATAGTGACTATTGATAGGCGTGTGACAGTCGTTATGGATGAATGAGCGATGATTGATGATGCGTGGTTGGAGAAAGGAGGTTGTTGTGGGACGAAGTCTGTCGAGGACAGGGGACAACGCGATCCTCCAGCAGTGCCTTGTGTGCGGCTCTTTCCAGTCCCGTCGTGGCTTCATTTTGATATGGAAAGTCATTCATTGAATGCGTAGGTAAGAAAGATCGTACTTGCCTCTTTGGTTACCTAGGAGGTTTGGCAGGATTCGGTCATGGAGGTTTCCCTGCAGCGCCCGTATGCCACTGCCTCCACTGCCATGAGGCGCAAGCCCGGAACAGCTTGCGAGAAGGTGGCTAACGGCTGTGCATGCCTTGAAGTTGAAATTCGGAGCAGAAAACAAAGACTGGGAAGGATCTTGGCGTGATCCTTCTGTCATGGGATAATTTAACATTAGTCGGTGCGACTCGCCAGCGAAGGAACGATGAGGGCAACGGAAGTGCAGGTACTTAAAGAAGGGGAGGAAAGAGACAGCTGCTACAACTCCATTAGAATTCGACATCGCGCTTGCCAATCCAATTCGAGATGTCTTCTTCCAGAGAAAGTGCCGTCATCATTGAGCGTCGTCCACTCGACACATCACCTGCTGCGCGATTGAACTCCTACAACCACCACGCCTTGGCACCATGGCTCGAGGAAACAGGCTACCTGACGCCCTTGTTCCTTTACAAGAGAGAGAAAGAGATCGCGCCTTGCAATATGGGGCAGTGGCTGTCATCAGCAATCCAGCGACACATGCTGCATCCGCCAGTTGCTGTCCACCGATTGTCTAAGACGGAAGTCGTTGCTTCAGAAGTGCAATACGACATGTCGAGCCCAGAACAGAGCGCGAGACTCCAGTCTCTTGCCGTCAGAATTAAAGAGACTATGGACGGCTTCGGCAAGACCTCCCCCCACGGGTACTTCGTTCGCAGGAGCCACTGCAGTCCCAAAGATGCCGATGCAGGAACACTACGACCCGTATTGACGATCAAAGACGCCCTCGTCAAGCTCGTGTCATCGAAGTGAACAGTTCAAGCCCTCCTGAATCTGTACTACGAGTATCAACGCGCTGATGATCTTCCCGATAGCCAGCTCTTCTTCTTCCCGTACCACGCCGACCTAGATCGCCTGAGCGAATGGCGATGCTACATCAAAAAAAACAGGGTAGCCGCAATCAGTCAGAGCAGTTTCTACCAGTGCAACCATCCAGGAATCACGAACGATGCGCTCCGATCTTTCGCGATGCAAGTTCGCCGATTGTGGGCCGACATGGCTCCCCAACTGAGGTTCGACTCGTGTGTACTGGATGTTTACGCGGAGGTCAAGAGCCCCGGCTTCGTCGTCAATCTAGTTGAGATCAACCCATGGGGCGCGCATGCGGGATCCGGAAATTTGCTATTCCACTGGTTGGACGATGCCGATATCCTCAACCGCGCGAGGTCGGAGCCGGAGCCGGCACCGGCCGTGGTCATCAGACTCGTGGAAGAAGGCGAATCGCCGGTGCTTTCACGCGATGAGGCCTACCGGATCGGGCGGGAACGGATCATCAAGGATGAGCTGCGTTGCCTGAGAGAGCGCGGCTTGAAATGGGTTTTGGGGGATGATGCGCACGCAAAATTCATGGCGCTGCCGCTGCCCGGTGCCTCTCCCATGCCAACGACAAGAAAGGATGGGCCTGAGATCTTCCAACGGAAAAGAGCGGGCGACGACAGAATAGGCGATGGCAAGAGGTCAACCGCGAGAGATCACCCTCGATTTGTCAAGTTGAAAAGGGCATTGCACGATTGAGAGTAACGATTGGGAACATCAAGGGTGCCGAGATGTCTACCTGGTACGTAATGACTGGGATATTGATGATCTAGATCTTCCGGCGCTCCGTGCGGCCATTGCACTGCAATCTTCATCCACCACAAGAGAGTCAAGAGCCAGGCTAAACGCCGGTCATTCCCCGGAAACAACTTTTTCTTGATTGGCTTCTCTCTTCCGACCAAACGACGATGGCATTACTCCGGCTATGGTGGACCATTTCATTGGTTGAAGGCTAGTCCTCTGGGTCTTCCCCTCTCTGCCGGGATCCATCTTGGATCACCACGCAGAAGTGTATCTCCACTTGTACCATCACCAGACTCATCTCAAACCCCATCTCGGGCTCTTTTGGTCCGGTCGTGTAAACTTCACACCGATGGACGTTGAAGTGTGGCGTTATGCTCTTCTCAATAGAGGGGTCAGATGAAGTGTAAAACAGACAACTCCCCGTTCTACTCCTCGACGGCCGAGTCTGGGTGCTTCATATAGCTACATGTCCTGGGAGCATCGGATGCTAAGCGACGATGGCGAACCTCAAAGTTGTCGATGTTCGCGTTGACCATTATCGACCGAATTACACCTTGGGAATTCACGTCGAAAGACCTCGCATCTCATGGCGCTACAGTGACGCGCCCCCAAACTTCACCCCCGGCGAGCAGATCATTCGAATCTCGCGTCTCTCGAGCTCCGGCCCCACCGTCCTCGGCGAGTTTTCTGGAAATGACACAAACACCCAAGACGTCCCATGGCCGGTGAGCGAAGCCATCGGGTCTCGCGAGAAGTACTCTGTGGAGGTGCGCGCTTGTGGTGCGGATCAAACGGAGCTGTCGCCATGGAGTGAGCCCTACGTATTCGAGACGGGCTTGTTGAGCCGTAGCGACTGGAGCAGCAAGCTCATCTCGGCACCATGGGCGGAAGAGAGCAAAGATGCTCCGCAGCCTGAGGATCTGTTCCGAAGAGAGTTCAAGTCCGAGGACCGCGTCCAATCTGCACGGCTCTATGTAACTGCCCAGGGCATCTACGAGGCCGAGATCAATGGGAAAAGGGTCGGTGACTACTTCCTTGCACCCGGCTGGACGAGCTACGACGGTCGACTGCAGTATCAGACATATGATGTCACCGAGTACATCTCATCTTCTTCCAACTGCATCGGAATCCGCGTGGCCGAGGGCTGGTTCAACGGCCGCATCGGGTTCGAGGGAGGCCGTCGCAGTATCTGGGGCACCAGAACTGCCGTTATGGCTCAGCTTGAGATCACCTACGAGGACGGAAGATTAGAGACCATCATCACAGACAGTGCTTGGAAGGTTACCCGTGGACCGACAAAGCTTGCCGAGATTTATGACGGAGAGAAGTACGACGCCACTGCAGAAGTTGCCGGCTGGTCTACCACATCGACGAGCGGCGACTGGTCACCGGTAGAGGTTCTGCCTGAATTGCCCAGTAACGTGGACCTCATCGCGGGATTTGGAGAGCCAGTTCGGCGCATGGAATCCTGGATGCCCAAAGAGCTGATCACGACACCATCAGGCAAAATCATCCTTGATTTTGGCCAGAACCTTGTTGGATATGTCCGATTCAAGAACGTCGAGGCCGAGCGCGGCCACCAGCTCACCTTCCGTCACGCAGAAGTCCTCGAAAACAGAGAGCTCGGCACTAGGCCTCTGCGTGATTGTCAAGCAACGGATGTTTACACCTTCAAGGGCGATCCGGAGGGCGAGAGCTGGGAACCGCGCTTCAGCTTCCACGGCTTCCGCTACCTTCAGATTGACGGCTGGCCGGGGTATCTCAATCCCTGCAGAGGAGCGCTTAAAGTTGTCGTCTGTCATACGGACATGCAAGAAGCAGGCACCTTTTCCTGCTCAGATAGGCGGCTGAACCAGCTCTTCAGCAATGTCCGCTGGTCCATGAGGGGCAACTTCCTGTCTGTGCCCACCGACTGCCCTCAAAGAGACGAGCGGTTGGGGTGGACGGGAGACCTCGCGCTCTTTGCACCCACTGCTACCTACGTCTACGACTGCTTTGGCATCCTGAAGAATTGGCTGGCAGATGTCGCCTTTGATCAAAATGAGCTGGAGGGGATCCCACCTATGGTATCTCCGAATGTCCTCAAGGGCCATCAGAACTGGGGCAAGATTGGAGCCAACGCCATCTGGCATGATGTTGTCGTCTTGGCACCGTGGGCTCTTTATGAAGAGACGGGAAATGCAAGCATTCTCCGGGATCAGTATGAGTCCATGACGACCTGGATCGGAAAAATACCCAGAAACAAAACTGGATCAGTACATCTTTGGGACTTTGGATTGTTTCAATTAGGAGTAGGTCACAGTCGTTGCTCGTATTGACAAGCAAAAGCTAATGTCCCCAGGACTGGTTGGATCCCAATGCACCCCCCGATGAGCCGATGAAGGCAGTCACAGATCCTCCTCTCGTCGCCAACGCATTCCTCATCCGTTCACTAGACTTGCTCATCCAAGTCGCAATCATCCTTGAAAAGAACGAAGACGCAGAGCACTACCGCAAAGAATCTGCCGCAGCCCGACAAGAATTCCTCGATGAGTACGTCAGCGCCAACGGACGCCTGACATCCGACTCTCAGACAGCTTACGCCCTCGCAATCGCCTTCGACCTTCTCTCTCCAAAGCAGACCCAGCGCGCAGGCGACCGTCTTTCGGAAATTGTCCGCCGCAACGCCTTCAGAATCGGCACAGGCTTCGCTGGCACGCCGTATATCTGCGAAGCACTCACGCGCACGGGACACAGCGATGTGGCGTACGCGATGCTGCTGAACGAAGCGTGCCCTTCATGGCTGTATCCCGTCAAGATGGAGGCTACGACGGTCTGGGAGCGCTGGGATAGCATGCTGCCCGACGGCTCGATCAACCCCGGCGACATGACGTCGTTCAACCACTACGCGTTTGGTGCTGTGGCCAAGTTCATGGTTGAGCGGTTGGCTGGTTTGAAACGACTGGATCCCGGTTGGAAGAGGTCAAGGGCTGAGCCAGTGCTCGGCGGCGAGTTCACGCATGCGGCGGCTGAGCATCTCACTCCGTATGGCAAAGTTTCCTGCAAATGGGAGTTGACTGGCAGCGACACTACTCTTTCGGAGCTGAAGGTTCAAGTTGTTGTTCCTCCATTGACAGAGATGGAAGTGGTGTTGCCTGGCAAGGATGGACCAAAAGTCGAGGTTGTCGGGTCAGGCGAGTGGTCTTTCGTGGTGGAGTATGAGCGAAAGCATCAGTGGCCGGTGAAGGCGCTTTCCATCTTCCCCGAGTAGATATACGTAGGTTCAGATGGGTAATCAAGAGTCTTGGTATTCGCGCTGGCGTTTCCTACAGCCTGGCTGATGGATGTCGAGTGTATTGCCAAGACTTGTGCCAACGGCCGCCAAGCAACCCGGTCGGCTGGGCTGCAGGAAGTAAGGGGCTTTTGTCACCTTGGCTGAACGACATCCCAAGAGACTACGACGAAATACATCAAGTCAATTCCATCATGTTCACAAATACATTGTCCAATTCATGGCCCCATGCTTCAGCTAGCCATTGCGTACATGACCTCTTAGTAGGTACCCGCAGACTTTATGATGATGTTGGCCTTGGCAATCTCGGCGTACTCCTCGTCCCTCTTCTCCTCATCACGCTTGTAGGTACCGGCTGACTTGATCACAATCGAATCCTTGGCAAGATCGGCGTACTAAAGTCTAGAATCAGGACCAGTCCGTCTCTTCAAAGTCGCAAGATGTGACTTACCTCCTCGCCGCGCTTGTAAGTTCCAGCAGACTTGATAACAATGGAGTCCTTCGCCAAGTCGGCGTAGTCCTCGGCACGCTTGTATGTACCGGCGGATTTGATGACAATGCTGTCCTTCGCCAGCTTCTCGTAGTCGGCCTCGCGCTTCTCCTCGCCCCTCTTGTACGTGCCGGCCGACTTGATGACGATCGAATCCTTGGCCAAGTCTGCGTACGCTTCGCCGCGCTTGTAGGTGCCGGCCGACTTGATCACGATGGAGTCCTTGGCGAGGTCGGCGTAGTCGGCGGCGACGGGGGCGGCGATGGCGCCGAGGGCCTGGAGGGCCACGACGGTGAGAACGGAGAAGTGCATTTTGGGCGAGTTGGTGGAGGGCAATTTGGGAGAAGCAGGATATTTGCTTCGGGCAAGGAGATTACAGGCGGGTCTTTATGTGAGGAGCAAGGCTTGAGGGCGCTCACATCGTTGATGGGGCTATGACTTTACAGTAGCTGGTCTTATCGCATCCTTCTGAGATGGCAGGCCGGATGGGGTATCATCTTGTTCCAACCCGTTTCTCGCCACATGTGTCGAGTCGTAAGTCCCAGACAGGAAGGTATATAAGCTAGCTCATGACGTTTTGACGATCCAGACTATTGCAGAGTTCCTCTGGCTTCTGCGATGTAACATTGATCTTGACACCCATGTGTTATTCTTCGCATGATTGGTTCAACAAAGCTTGAGACTGGGTTTCCATCTGTCTCACACTTACGACAAACCATCTCTGGTCATGTTCTAGGAACCCAATCCCTCGGTGGCGGGGCTGCGCTTGCATCCTTTTCGGACTTTCACGACCAGACATAAAACGCTCTCGATGGGGACATCCGAATCCTGCCGTTCTGAATGGTCGGTATCAGCCGCGAAGCTTTTCGGGAAGAGATCCACGACGAGCTGCTGGGGATTTTTGAAGCGGCACCCATGCAAGTGCTAGGCCGAATCAAGAAGCTCGATGACCGAAGGAATAGGCTACAGCATTTTGTATAAGCATAGCGCGTCGGCCCACCAAGTCATCATGCAGGCGTCTTACTTGCCGGATGTTTCTGCCGATAGAAGGCTGGTGGTCCGAGGAAGAAGCACGCTGTGAAGAATTCAACGTGCCGCGTCTCCCAGCTTGCCTTTACCATGCTAATGCTTTGAGATTCTTGGGACATTTCGACTTTTTACCTTGGAACAACTAGAAAGCAGCCACAAACCTGAGTATCGCCATGTGGTGGAAATTTGGTTCGAGATATGAAAGCCTCCCGCAAGCAGAGGGCAAGGAGGCTGGTGCACCTTCTAGGCGCTCAAGATGGTTCAATCACCGATGGCCACAATCGAATATCCTCCTCATCACCACCAACTCGGTGACGCTCATTGCGCTTATCTATACTATCTGGACAGGAGAGCCGAACTTTTCGACAAAAGGATGCACACAGACACTTTCCACGCCATGTGAGTTTAAGCAATAAACAAGATCACAGAGTACTTTCACTGACGATTGCTACAGCACCGGCTCTTGAGGCGATCAAGTACAAGACGCCAGAGCACTACAATGCAGAGTTCAGGCAAACGAACAAGTGGCGAGGCCCACCTGGGAATCATTCCAACGCTGTCGACGTCGCGTGGCATGAGATCGAATTGGGCGCGGGTGGGATCTGGGTCTCTGAGGAGGAAGTCAATTTGTTGAACATGACAGACTCAGCAGAACTTCCCTTCCACAAGATTCCCGAAGAACAAGGCGGGGGTTACCTGGCCATGCTCGAGGTCTTCCATCTGCTGCACTGCTTGGTCAGTTCATCACCTGTTCCTTGTGCTAAATGACCTGTGCCTAACACGACTTCCAGAACTCACTGCGAATGGGCTTGTTCTACAACTATGAGCATTATAAGTTCCTTGACGAAGATGTTCCCGACGAGAATATTTATACTCACTATGGTAAGTTTCGTCTTGCATCATCAAAGCTTAAAGAAAATAAGCCCCAAATTGACTTTTGTATCGTCAACTTAGACCACTGCATCGATATGCTCCGGATGAACCTTATGTGCTACGCGGACGTCACCCCGGCCCTATTTGTGGACCCGCTTAACAATCCTCTGCGCAGAGACGCGCTGCCCAACTGGTCATCTATGCACACTTGCAGGGACTTTGACGCGATATTGGATTGGAACAAGCACGGCCCTAGATCGGTACGTTGGCGGGATGCCGGTGCCAATCCGGCGTGGGATCCGAATCTCGAGGGTGCAGAGCAACCGTTCCCGCCTGAGGGACATGCGGAAGAAGGTCACCATCACGGGTAGCCAGGCTTTGTAGTATTTGCATGGTAGCAATTATGTATTTCGATCAAATGCTATGAATGACAAAAGTGCGCATTGTATGAGGGATGAAATCGGCATCCTAAACTTCATCATCGCTGCTCATCCGGCGTCCCCAGGCATCTTTCTTCTGCGTCTAAATCATTTCTGTATCTTTACACTACGCTGAATTGTCTGAAAATAAGACGTCTACATGATGGATATGAGCCGTTGTGCGGAAATGACAAGATTTGGCTGTTGGCTTACCTGAAAATTTACCGTCCCTCATGGCACCTGTCCCTCTATTCGCAGGCTTTGGTGTCGCAACAAGTGATGCCGTAGCCACCAGAGGGCGCGTTACCGCAGAAAACCTTGTTAGAGTTGCACTTGCCGCCGTTGAAACCCTGAGTTCCGGGGCTTTCGGTCGTGCAACCGGCCTGAACACCAGCGCTGGCGAACAGGAGAGCGGTAACCACAGTAAGGATCTGCTTGGAGAAGTACATCTTGGCGGCGATGATTGGTGTCGGAGTCTTGGAGAGAATGGGTAGGTGGGCTTTGTGAGCTGTAGGAAATTGATCTGATGCGTGATGTTTGAGGTGTCTTGTCTCGAAAGGCGGAATTATAACTGCTGCTTTATAGCTGTTTCTTCTCATGGTATTCTTCATACAAACATTGGCCTCGGACCACAGCTCCCGGGTTGATAGTATGATCCACGTTGAGACAATAAAGTTCTGACATGCAGAGAGACTATGGTTTGAGATCGGAGGAGCACATGGTCATTGCGACCCGGCGACCCAGATCAGATTGAGGCAGCTCGTCTACCAAGGCCAACCCCCTTTTGATATATTAATTGCCCCCCAAGGCTCATGATTCATGAGTCTACGTCCTTGTCTTTGGCTTTTATAGACTATCATGATCTCCTGTTACCGCCGCTAGGCTTTGATGATGCGGGCGGACCTTAGTTCACATGGTTGCAAGAGAAACAAGTGACGTTAAGGTCGAAATTCTGTTCCAAAGATTATGGCTTAGGTTGACAAGAGGTTGCTTTCACTGGCAATGGTTCAAGGGAAGACAAGTATCCGTAGTCGGATTGCTCAGATCAGACCATGTGGAGACTGGAAGTCCGATCTCCCCACAACCCGTGCCGTGGCTAGGATAGAATTGGGAAACACGGCCTGAACTCTAACATATTATCTTACAGGTGACGGTGAACGTGGGACAAGAGGCGCCAAGTGGAAAGCGCATGGCAACAGAATCACAAAGCGCCGGAACTTCCATTCTTCCTTATCTCAGTGGGGAGCAGATATGTTAACAGAACACTATCAGGAGGACTCGACACAAACGCATATCGAATCGCGAACGGAGAAAGGTTTCTGGTAAAGAATCTTCTCGATAGACTTAACCTTAGACTCTCTCCGATGACCACGGGCATCTAAATTATTTGACATCTGAAGCGTAAGCTTCTGACAGACTACCAACGAAGGATCAACGATGGCTCCAGTATACATGGTGAGTTGACTGACGCGGTCTAGCTTGTCTCAACATACGACATTGAAGATTCAGAGATATGGGCCTCAAAGCCCGAGGGTGTCCTCCTACTTAGGTTGAATCACTAACGCTCTTTGGCTACGCCTCGTAGTGTTGAAATGGTTACTGACTCGGCCATGGTGACTGTAGTTGTCGGAGAGGATATGAAGGAGTGTTTCATTTTCTGGCGGGACAAAGCGGACCGGCATCCCACCGGAACTTGGCTTGCGGATATGAGCTTTTAAAGTGAGGATAGTCTACCGTTGCATCCCACCGGCACGTGGATACGGGCTGTGGGCTTAACGGCTTTGGCGAGGTACATGTCCACCGAGTGGCAATGTTTCCATGACTCGCAAGGGGAAGCGGAAGGAAAAGGGCACAATGGATCCAAGAAGACTCGTTTGTGCTGTGAAATTGAGCTCGGGTCTCAGACTGTAAAATGACCCCATGGCTATCATTAAAACCGAAGTCGCCAACATTGGAGCATGTGCCGGCTATACAATCAGCCGCGACTCTACCATGAAAAGATACTTTTCCATGGCATTGGATGTAAAATCATCAGATAGCCGTGTCCCTCATGTCGATTGGTTAGCCTACACCACGACGGAGTGAAATGTTATGGAATTGAATGTCGTACTGCAATCACAATAGTCTCAGTCTTTGGATGAGGCACTGGTCACAGCCTTGTTCTCCGTATTTCTCGTAAGAGTTGCGTAAGGCAGGCGCTATATTCCGCTTTAAGCGGCCAAACATCCACGACGGGTTTTAAACCATTTACTAATAACTTTGAAAAGCGCAGGCAACTTCTGAATTCCATGATTCAACATAACATTCAACATACAAGCTCCAATACCATGTGACAGTATGTTGTTTGTATGGCCAGTAGCATATGGACATGGAGGATGGTAAGGGGTGATGATTTGCGGATCGTATAGGCAACTTTTGTGACTGAGTAGTTAGACGAACGAGCCAATTCATACACATCTGCGGTTTCCTATCAAACTTCTTTAACAGATATAGCAAGCTAGATTAAGGATGGACTTTGGGAAAAGTACTTTAGGGGTATGTAGGAAGAACAAGTTGTATCTCTACAAGGAGATTGAAGACTGGATGGGCGATGAGACTGAGAAAATTGGTGTGGCAGTTGCCGGTGTATTTGCCGTCGTTGAAAACGAGATCTCCCAAAGAATCAACGCCGCGGAAACTTATGGAACGCGAGCACTGATGCGGTGGCAGGACACATGTCTGCCGTTCTCAGTAGCTTTTGGCAGGCGTATTACTTGGTGCAGCATTGGTACTATGGAAAGGAGGTGAGATATGCCTCATCGCAAGTAGACGAGATGGGAACATACCGTGATCCGGCAGGTAGTATTGTTGTCGCCAGGCTTGGTGACGAGTTGTGTATAGGATTGGACGTTCATAGTTTGACCATTTCCGCAGGAGGGCGTAGCATAGCTCGTTGGGATATTGCAAGTGAGAACCGCGACTCGGTTGTCTTTGGTAAAGGTGCGGCAGTCGCGTGCGACAAGGTCGCTATGATGAGGAGCAGCAGCCACAGCCACAGCCATTAGGATAGTAGCAAAAGCGGATGCGACAACCATTTTGACGAGTAAGGCTTCGAGTATGGAACGATTGGAAAGATACAAGATTCAGAGTGAGGGTGTAAAGAGAGTGTGCAGCTTTTTATAGTTGCTGATCGACAAAGACGGATAGAGATTCAAAAATAGGCGAAATATATAGCAAATGACCATCATGACTGACAAACTCTCCCACCGGTTTCTGAGTGGCCAAGACCAGACTGGACCCACAGAAGTTCCAGACTTTCCAGATTTTTTCCCAAAGTGTAGAGTGCTAGGTATTACACCCGGACATTTTGTTATTTTAATACTGAGTTGATGACTAACTTGGTCATTGAGTACAAGTTGCTTGCCAAATTGAGCTATCTAGCACCCTGTGGGATCCCCTAAACTATTTTCTACAACTAAAGCACATGTGACAAGAGGGAGTTCATGGAAAAGAATTGGATCTCGGCCCCAATGGTGCTTCCGGATGTCCGCGTCACGTCGCTTCTCAGGATTATTCACCATGGCTGGAAACCACGAGTCGTAAGAGTAGGTCAGTTGGGTGGCATATAAATAGGCCCGGGCCGGAGACTTACCGGATGTCGCCGGCCCGCCTCGCAACGCCGTAGTCCTGTAAAGCCGAAGGAAACAAAAGCATTCTCAAATTCCAAGCTTCTGTGCAATCTCTGTTCCAGCGAGACGGCCGAATGTCATGCTCCGAAGGCAGCTGGTGGCTGGTGGGTACTCATTGTAGAACAACCCAGTCATCTCTCCACTTGCATAGAGACCCGGGATCGGTACGTCATTGTGAGAAAGCACGCGTGAGTGAAGATCAGTCTTCACACCGCCGTAACTGTGTGATGGTGAGCTATGATTCAATTTTACTTGGGACTTGTTGGCTTACGTGAAGGTGAGATTGGGCGTGCAAGGGAAGCCGTAGAATGGGGCCTTTGCGATCGGATTCGCCCAGTTGGTCTTGTTTGGTTTGAGACCAGTCGTCGCCTTGCCGTCGAGCTTCATTAGATCGAAACCCTTGTCATTGATAGCCGCATTGAAGTCATCGACTGTCTTTTTGAGTTTCTTTGGGTCGAGGTTTAGCGTCTCTGCTAAACCTTCGATCGTGTCTGACTTCTCCGGTGGCTTGTCTGTGGTTTCGTACACCCAGCTGCCTTTGAAGCGTTGCATAATTACCTCATCGGTAATAAAGTAGCAAGACATGTTTTGATCTTTCCAAGTGTGAAGGGCCGCCATTTCAAATGTGGCAAAGAGATGTCGTTCACCTTCGTCGTAGAACCGCTCGCAGTCGTTGTTGACAAGAATGCCGTAGTTGTGACCCCAGATCACAGCATCCGGCTTGTCGGCCCGAGTATCGACAAGCTCGCAATGCATCCCATCGAAAGATCCGGCAGTATCAGCGCCAACTTCAAGACACATTCGCAAGCCTGCGCCCCTGTTGTACTTCAAACCTGGGGCAATCAGCGGCAGCTTGTGCGAATCTCGCCCAATATATCGGGCCAACACCTCTTGGTTCGCCTCAAAGCCGCCACAAGCAAGCATGACCGTGGGGGCGAGAAGGTCGTGGAGAAAACCGTCTGTCTTTCGAACCTTCAACCCTTCAATGGAGCCCGCATCGGTTGTTAGGAGGCGAACGGCCTCGGTCTGGTAGAGAATATCGACATGGTCAAAGCCTTTGATGTGGCTTAATAGGTTGTGAATGATTGCGTTGCCACCGCCTTCGGGAAACACGAAGTGCTGATCTGTGTTGAACTCAAGGAGAACATTTGGTTCGTCATGATGTATGAACTTGACGCCATGATCTTCGAGATAACGTGCCGAGATTGGAGCCTCCTGTCTGAGCTTTTCACAGTAATCTTCATCTGCTGCCCCGTTGCTGACACGTCTCATCTCCTTAACCCAATGATCATCTGACAGAGCGAATCAGTCTTTCAGCGTTCATAGCGATTGAACAAGTCGACCTACCAAAGTCCAGGTTCTTGTCCAGTCGAAGGTATGCCATGGTCCACTTCGAAGCACCTGACCTTTCACCCTCTTCGCCGGCTTCGACGAGAGCTACACGACCGCTCTTGTTCAGACGCTTGCATTCCTCCAGGAAGTTGAGGGTAGTCATGCACCCAGCAAAGCCAGACCCGACAACGATCACATCGTATGCTTCAGACGATGCCATATTGAGATTGAAATGTCGAAGATGATTTCAGAGGTTGACGAGAACACAGACAGCAGCAAAAGGCCTTTTCTGATCGATCCATCAGGCTCGAACAGACATGCCATCTCTGTTATGTATCTTGGAGAAGCTTTGGATTACGTGGAGGATCACCCGATGTGGTGCCGGATCGAGAATATCTGTGTAGCATGAGCTTGCGGGCACAAATAAAACTGCCGACTCAACTGCATGCGTTCCGTCATCGCATGTAGTGTAGCGTTGGCACTTTTATCGTGGTTTTCATCCAGGCTGTCTATCCTGTGACAGCCAAGAACACCGCTCTCAGTGTCGTTGGCCAAGATTAAGCTTCTATTAACAGGGACAGACGAGGGTGTCCAGCTTTAACAAAAAGAGAAACTAGTCAGGAATGGTCATTCTGATGCACCATATAGGCGTTATGGTCGCCAAGCTGATAGCTTGTTGCCTTATAGCGTCTTAGTTAGACTGAGCAGTTGCACACCGCAGACGATCTGGCCTAGCAAATGGATAGGTGGATGAGTAAATAAAAATGGAGGGAGGCAGACAGTCATAACAAAATGATGCCATCTGATGCCTAGTAGAGTCTGGTCTTAGCCTCTATAGACCTGCATCCGTTAGCAGTTTTAATTGATGCGCACACAGTTTGTGCTTACGTCTTTGTGTAGCAGACCTTGGTCCAGCTGCTCGCGCGAACTTAGAGCGGCGAGCGATGTGGCCGCATCTGAGCGACATCGTGGCGGCGGGAACAGGGATCACGAGAATTCATGCTTATTTCGGCCGAGTTGCTCAAGGCACAGGCCGAATGACAGACGTGGGCTCCCCCGCACTCTACCCCTCCTGGCTTCCCGTGCCCCGAGATCATTCAAACCAATCTGGCAAGATCTGCGACAACAAGATCTCGTTTCCGCCCGAATGTTATCGCGGGAGAAATCAAGCCCTGGCCCGTTTAGTGATGTCTTCATTTACGGTGTCAAATCCATTGGTGGAATGGCGTGGGGACATCACGGCATTGACGCTTGGGTTGCCGTGATCGCTTCGTTCGGCGTAGTCTCCGCCGAGATGCGACTTTAACTTTGTTCGAAGGGGTTGACGCTCATTTCCCATTGATACATATGAGGCCAATCGTCCATTGTGTTTATATCGTGAGATTAGAAGTCCTGGTTGATCATCGACGTTTCTTTTCCTCTCGTTCATCCCATCTCTTAAGCTTATTTCCCCGCGTTCAAGTTGGCGAAGTCTCCACTGTCGACAAAATGAGATTTCAAAGCATCGCTGCAACCCTGGTCACGGCTCTGACTTCTGTCTCCGCTGCTCCATTCGGCGAAAACACCGAGGTTCAAGCCCGCCAAGACACTAAGCCACCCTACTTCTTGCTGACCGGCGACTCAACTGTGGCTGTCGGCGGTGGATGGGGAGATGGTTTCCTTCGCTACGTTCAATCGCCGGCTGATGGAAAGAACTATGGCAAGAGTGGTGCTACAACGGTTTCTTTCAGAGCCCAAGGCATTTGGGACACAGTGATTGGCGAAGTCGAGGCAAACAAAGATGCATTCAGCCCGATCGTGACCATTCAGTTCGGTCACAATGACCAGAAGGAGGCGGCCGGCATTTCGCCCGACCAGTTCCAGGCCAACCTCGAGACACTTGCGAACGAAGTCAAGGCTGCTGGAGGAACTCCGGTAAGCTTACAGAACAATTATGGAGAATTGGCACTGACTTCATTTCAAGATCCTGATCACTTCCCTCACTCGCCGAGTCTTCAGCGGCGGCAAGGTCATTCAGAACCTCGAGACCGAGAGACAGAGAGCCATCGCGGCTGCTGAAGCCGTCGGCGCCATTTATCTTGACCTCAACACCGCCAGTACCAACTACGTCAATGCCATCGGTAACGAGAACGGCCACAAGTACGACCTTGCTTCTGGCGATTCAACCCACCTGAATGTCGCCGGTGAGACGGTCTTCGGCCGCTTGGTTGCCGATCTCCTTCTCGAGAAGCGAACCGACCTTGCCCAGTACATTGCTGAGAACAAGGCTCTTAGCGACAAGATTGCGAATGGCGAGTTCGCGACTGGTGACGAGTAAACGTGGCGCGTATATGCATGAGATTGGCGAGCATTGTAAATGACAAGCTTTGATGGCACAGACCATTGTGTTGTCTTTCTCTTCAGGATCGATATTCTTAGTAGTGCATGTAAGTATTTATAGAAAATGTATATAAGATCGTCTAAAACTTTCAGACTCCCACCTGTAACAACACCAGAACCGCGGTCTAATGATGGGAATAGTGACCTAATGACGGCCTCATAGAGGGATAGGCAACTGATGGCCTTTGCGCCAAGTCTCACCAAGTCTGATAGTAAGGTACACGAGTCCAGCGCAAACAAATTGAATGCCGCCTGATAGTGTAGACGACCATCCAACACCAATAGTCTCAATCAGCGGCAGACAAACCGCGGTCGATAGTCCAGCAATCAGATACCTCATAAGATAGTGTCCAGCTTTTAATGTCAGTCCGGGCTCTTCACAGAGACGCAAAGGAGGATACTCACCCGAAGATCCGCCACTTTGAGAGTGTTGGATTACGTCAAAGATGTATGAGTTCAGGCTTGGGAAAGCTCCCATCTGAGCGACCCCCTGAAAGAACATGCAGACCACTGGCAATGGGATTCCACCGATGCGCTTGTCCAGTGTCCACCCGTACATGACCATGGACCCAGGCAGCATGAATGCAAGAAAGATCAGACAGCTACGCAGCCTATCCTCCGGGAGACGGAAGCCTCTCTTCTGAATCCACTTATTGACAGTCCAGTCAGCCCAACGACCGCCTATCTGCGAGCCGACAAGATAACCGGCACCTGGTACGAGGTATAAAAGCCCTGACTGAAGCGGCGTTGTGAGGTGAAAGCGTGGGTTAAGGACGTATCGAATTGGTGTAAGCAGGGCATACATGTTCCAAACCAATGAGGAAGAAGCGAGAAACTAGATTGGCTCAGTATTACCTTTGTCATTTGGGAGTGTATTCTGACTTACGACTAGAAGAAGGTTCTTGTTTCCGTAAACCTTCACCACTTTGGTCGGGTTGCCCCAATTCCAAAGCTTGGAGATCTTCTCCCCGAAACCAAGACCTTGCAGCTCCGAGACCCTGAGTTGATGATGGGTTTCCGGGAGTGCAAAGTAGATGAATGGCAAGGCCAGCAGTGCAAACGACGCCTGAATCCAGAAGATGACGCGCCACGTCGTATAAGTTACGACGATGCCGCCGAGAACTGGGCCGAAGGCGGGACCGAATGCTACTCCAGAAAGAAACCATCCAAGAGACGTAGCGCGTTCAGTCTGTTGGGACATTCATATTAGAAAACCAACTTTAGAGAGAGGCATTCATATGCATGTACTTACTGGGTGGTAAATGTCGGAAATGCATGTGCTTCCAAGAATCAAGAACGCCGTACCTTGGAACGCGGTCAATGCCCGAAAGAGGAAGAAAACCTCAAGCTGAGGCGCCAACGCGGTACCGATCGTGAACACTAAGAATAGTGCGACACTGCTCAAGTAGGCCTGCAAGTATTATTTCTCAGCGACGGAGTTTTGCACCTTTTGTGGTGGTCTGACATACTGGTCTGCGACCAAAAATATCTGCGTACGGACCCCATATGAACGCCGACAAGCCCATAAAAGTCAGATACACGGCGTTGCTGATGTTAATGACTGTAGCTGATGTCTCAAACGTTGAAACAATCTCAGGAACGGCAGCCAAGACGCTTGTTGTGGACATCTGTGCTAAAAAGCCGCATACAGCTGCAATGCCGGTGACGAGGCGCTTTTGCAGTGGCTTCAATCGGGAGTAGACGGAAATTTGGACGCGGGACTGGTCCGGGTCTTCGCCGGACCCGAGGACGGGGTCGGGGCTCGCAGGCCGGACCTGAGACTCCGTGGATGACATGTTGCGGTCGGTGGACATGGCGCAGGGACTCGAAAATGGCGTGATTGTCTACCGAAACTTTTGCGACAAAGACATTTTCGGACGACAATAAGTACCTTATGTGTTAACCTAAACAAACTACTTGCCGATGTCGGTCGGCAAAACACGTCAAACAGGACGGCAATTGAAGAAGTGCCCGACAGCAAGTGCAGTGCAAGGTTCAGGGGCGGGGATCAGCGCTGTGTTCCTGAGCGATTCGCATTTTTAGCTAACGAACCCCAGATACAGTGGCCCATGCAGCGATTTAGTGACTCAACTTCTGTCCCAATTGAGTCAACTTGATGGACTTTCGGTCCGCACCCCGGCCAAATTGGTTCTTGCCGAGCAAAGCAAGCAGTAACTCTTTCAATGTTTTCCTTTCAACTATTGAGAATAAGAAGCAGACATCCTCTGTTCCAGCCGCGCGTCTTGCAATACGATCTTGCTCAGTGAGAAATATCATCAGGTTCGGCGTTCCGTCCTTTGAAATAATATCTCGACGAGAAAATACAGTTACAATTACTTCGGTAATAGCGTCTCTGCAACGTATGTGTATGTGTACATGTATCGACAAAGGAAAATGGGGTATAACCAGCTTTAAGCATGATGTCCTGACCGAAATTTCTTCCAACGCTCTACCACCTCATCTCTTTCCTCGGGTGTTGACCTTCTAAACTCATTAATACCTTGCCGTAATCTAATCAGTAGTATCTCCGCCTTAAGCTTCGTAAGACGGTGTTTCGACAGCTCTTTCTCTATGCCCTTGAGAGTGTATCCGGGCAACCCAAATATAGCTGAAGGTCTTGTTAGTAACTCTTCGCGATGAAAGAAGACAAGTTGTGAACTTACCAGCAAAAATGTTACAAGTGAACCCTCGATTACCCTGCCACAAACCTTTGCCAAAGCCCTTGATGCCTCCTTCTTTGGCTCCCTTGTATGGTCTGACGACAATCCCCCGGAACGCATCCCACGTGCCCAACGCAGCTTCCTTTCCGGCAGTTCGCAGACCGCTACCCAAGCCGGTGATCTCGTCTCGCCTCCGAACGTCGTGGCTGAACGCACCGTACGACGGATAGTTGTGGAAACCGTTTGCGACGTTGTAGAATACCGCGCCAGGAGCTTTGAGCCCGGCCTTGGCGACCTCGAGACCGTAACGGCCCGTTGCACGGGCGACTTCCTTCGCTCTGCCGCGTTGGCGCTTCTGATACTTGACGACCGACGACTTGCGCCTGCCTTCTGGCGTCTTTTCGAGCATCGCTATCTCGGCGTGGGGATCGGCGTTTTGGAGGGATTTGCTCGCCATCTTGAGGGCGATTGTGTTCATCTGGGAGGGCGATAGTGTGTTCTCCCGGACGACACACTTGAGGTTGCCGTCCTGGGTTTGCGTGACAGTGTTGTCGGTCTGCTGATCGCTTGTGGTGTCGGTTCCTTCGCCAACGGACTTCTCTCGTTCCTGCTGCGCCTGCCCTTGCAGGTCTGGTGTAGGCTCTATGTCTTGAGGAGCTTCCCTTTCAGGGTGAGCGTGTAGACGTTGAGAGTAGTCGGATGTCGCGATTCCAATGGCAGTGAAGAAGCCAGAAACTGCGGCCACCAGACCGATGAGGGGATGTTCCGCACCCTCGTCGACATACCAATGCTTGTGCCTGAGAAGCTTGACGTCGTGCGGCTTCATCATGCCCTTGTCGACGAGGCATCCGACCGCGAAACTGCTCAGGTGTGCACCGGACTTCTTATGCCTCCAAGTCGCAAGTCTCTCAGGGCAGACGTCGCACCGCATACCATCCAGCACCAATCGCTCCTGGATATCCTTCGCCGTATCGCCAGCGCCGTCTTCGGCTCCGATACGCTCCGCCATCTGCTGCACCGCAACCTGCACCTCTGGCTTCAGAGCAAATGAGATGCTCGCCGCCAGCGTTTCGGCTGTCATCTCCTTGAAGGGCACCGGCATGGGTCCTGCTCCAGCTCTCGCGATCATCTGGCCCCAGAAGGGCTGATCGCCAAAGAAGGGGACGACCACTGTGGGACGACCAGCTGCGATGCCTGCGGCAGAGGTTCCGGCACCTCCGTGATGGACGACAGCCGATACACGCTTGAAGAGCCAGTCGTGGGGGCAGTTGCCGATCAGGTAAATGTTCTCCGGGACGTTGTCGCCTCCACCAACACCGCCCCATCCCTTCGACACGATAGCACGTACCCCTGCGATTTTGACGGCGTCGAAGATGAGTTCAGTAAGCGCCTTCGGGTCATCGACGACAATAGAGCCGAAACCGATATAAATAGGTGGTGGCCCAGCTTCGAGGAACTTCGTGAGATCCGGTGGAGGCGTGTACTTGTCGGCCAGAGATAGGAAAGAGAAGCCCGTGATGTTGATGTGGTCGTCCCAGTCGGCAGGCTTGGGGATGAGCGATTCGGACCAGAGGAACGTAAAGGGAACGCGGAGTCTGGGCAGGAGTTGACAACCCCATAGAGGAGAGATGGGGTCGAGGCTAAGCGTTTGAGTGCGGAACTTGTTGATCAGGTCTCCCAATCTATAAAAGTGTCAACAGTCTGGTTGTCAAAGGCAGTCTTGGGGTGACAAACCCTTGCCATGTGAGAAGCTCCATCATGATGAAGGACAGATAGTTGGCAACACTTGTGTCTGCCTCGCCGTAACTCATCGACGCAAGAGGGTGGTGGAACGCTTGCGTCGGGCACCAGGGCATAGTGAAAACCATGTGTAACGGGATACCTAGCTTCTCAGCACAGTGAATATGAGCCATTGATGGCGGGTTGGCGATGATCGTGTCAGCAACAAAAAGATCGTCGGCGTCTTTCACGGTCGCGGCTGTGACACGCTCCCCCATTCCGTCACCAGCCTCAATGCAACTCCTCCAGCACCCGTCGATAATCTCAGCCATCTCTTTCCTCCTTTGCCCAATGTCGCCTGCCTTGACACTCTCACGGCTAGGAAGCAAGCCCGGATTCTTCACCATGTAGGCCATGAGAGCCTCTGGGTCTCCACCGATGCTGAAAAATTCGACTCCATTCGACTCGACAAAATCCTTGAAGACGGGGTGAGTGCATATTCGAACGCGGTGCCCAAAAGGCGGTTTCATAAGTAGTTGCGCAATTGGGATGAACGGCTGAATGTCCCCTCTTGATCCAACGATATGAATGGCGATGTTCAGCCGTGGACTCCTCTGCGGGGGCTCCCTCCTCAGGTTTTCCAAGATGACACTGGTGCGGCGTCGCGCCAATGCCTCCTCCAATTCTTCATTCTCATCCCCATTCGGCCCAGCTTTGAATGCACCCTGAAAGTCCTGATACCACTTCGCGAGTTTCTGGGGATTGGCGTGGAACCGGACCTTGACTCGTCCATCGTTGCCGACATTGCCGGATGTCGCCGTCTCTGACCTCTCACCATGCAGCGCGATGTGCCCCGGTCCATTCGATTTCATGCGACTGAGAGCCATGACAGAGATTGAGGCTCAGGTCCACAGACCGAGCGAAATGCGATTCCTCAATGCTGGATTTCCGGGCTCAATGGGCGATGAAGGTGATTTTATTCGGGCGCGATGAAGTTTGGATAAACCTAAGAAGCTCAGCTGCAAATCCCGTCGCGCTGACTCGGGGGAATCACGTGTAGTAATCAAAAAAGTGCTCCTCGCATCCATCGTTTCCAGCCGCTTTCATCCGCGCACTTCGCCTTAAACGTCATAGAGGATCCGTTTTTGACATTAGCGTCGTTTGCATATTAATTGTTGCAACAACAAACGCGCCCTGAGTGCGGTAAGGTTTACGCCGCTTGCATTGGCGGCCTTGGTGGACCCCTGCCTCCAAAAGATAATAGGCCATTGAAAAAATTCTAGATTCTTGCGAGACGGTAGTCGGCCGGGCCCGGGCCTGAGGCCTGAAACCTAGCCTGAATCCCGCCTTTACGTAAGGGATCAGCTACACTACTTTATAGCTAGTCACGCTTAGCACTTATAGCTAGATTAATTAAGCTATTTTACGCAGGTTATAAGCCCTCTAAATACCTAAATCTATTTACTAGATAGTGAGGTTATTCCTAAGTAACTATTAAGACTCTAACCTTATAATCTAGTAATTACTATAGAGTAATTAATAGATTACTAAGCTACTAGAAGTAATACTTCTAAGTAGAGGTTATAGCTATTATAATATATATCCCTTATTTATAAAATCTCTTTAGCTTTTAAGCTACTAAAGTTAATAATTATTTAATAATTACTATAGTTATATAGTAATAACTACTTAATAACTATTTAATAATTACTCCTAATTACTACTTAAATCTCTTTTAAACTACTAAATTAATTAAATAAAATAATATATCCTTAACTAGTAATCTAACTCTATTTTCTTTTAGCTCTATTAAAAGGGGATTATCTTAGATTAGTTCTCCCCCTTTTTCTACTATAAACCTTATAGCTAGAGTAGCTATATAAAAAGTAGCTAGTAAAAAACTAAATCTAAGAAGTCTAATATATAATATTATCCTTAAGCTAACTAAAGCTATAAGTTTTAAGCTATAAGAGATTAATCTTAAGAACGCTTTTAAAGTAATAAGATTACTTTTTTACTTAATAGCTAAAAAGATACTAAATAGATATAATAGAAATATAATTTTTAAAGAAAATAAAGTAGTAGTAATTAAGGATCTAAGTTCTTTAAGTAATTTAATACTTATAGGTTTTATACTTATTAGATAGTTATTTATAAAAAAGATCTAATATAATTTCTTAAAAGAAATAATTAATAATAATCTTTCTATTATAGCTTTAGCTTTCTATATCTTTATTAAAACTAAAGAATATACCTAAAAGTTTAATAAGCTAGCTATAAGTAAAGTCTATAATAACTAAAATAGAATAATTAAAGTTAATTATAGTAATACTAAGGATTTTATATAAGATCTTTACTTAACTTTTAATAAACTAAATAGCTTTAATATAAGCTTATTAACTATAGCTCTTACTTATAGACTTATTTAAGGTTTT